GCCCTATGTTGACCAAACTTGCATGGATGATACATCTAAGGATGTACACTACCGGGTTTGATTCGGATGCTGAATCTGACCTACATTTTCCGGTTGAATTTAACAGGTTAAAGTTTTTGCAGGTCTCATTTACAAGTAACTATAAGTCCTATGTTGACCAAACTTGCATGGATGATACATCTAAGGATGCACACTACCAGGCTTGCTTCAGTTGCTGAATCTGACCTATTTTTCCGGTTGAGTGAACAGGTTAAAGTTTTTGGTGCAGGTTTCATTTCCAAGTAACTATAAGCCCTATGTTGACCAAACTTGCATGGATGATACATCTAAGGATGCACACTACCAGGCTTGCTTCGGTTGCTGAATCTGACCTATATTTTCCAGTTGAGTGAACAGGTTAAAATTTTCGGTGCAGGTTTCATTTCCAAGTAACTATAAGCCATATGTTGACCAAACTTGCATGGATGATATATCTTAGAATGCATACTACCAGGCTTGCTTCGGATGCTGAATCTGACCTACTTTTTCAAGTTGAGTGAACAGGTTAAAGTTTTTGGTGCAGGTCTCATTTCCAAGATACTATGAGCACTATAATGACCAAACTTGCAGGTTTGATACATCTTAGGATGCATACTACCAGGCTTGCTTCAAATGCTGAATCTGACCTACATTTTCTGGTTGAGTGAACAAGTTAAAGTTTTAGGTGCAGTTTTCATTTCCAAGATACCTTGAGTCCTATTATGACCAAAAATGCATGGATGGTACATCTAAGGATGCATACTACCAGACTTACTTCGGATGCTGAATCTGACCTACATTTTCGAGTTGAGTGAACAGGTTAAAGTTTTTGGTGCAGGTTTCATTTCCAAGTAACTATAAGTCCTATGTTGACCAAACTTGCATGGACAATACATCTTAGGATGCACACTAATGAACTTGCTTCGGATGCTGAATTAGACATACATTTTTCATATAATGGACCAGGTAAAAGTTATGGGTGCATGTCTATTACCAAAAAATATAAGCTTATATAACATTGTATAAACCAAACTTGCACAAATGATGCATCAAGGGATGAAAACTCTCAAATTTGCTTCAGATGCTGGATTTTAATTACATTTTCATGAAAAAGAACTAGTTTGAAGTTTTTATATAGCTCTATTCCAAAGTATCGGATCAAAATTGCATAAATATTTTCATTTTGGGATGTACACTTTTTTTTCGGTGAATTGTGTGACTTTGCCTTACTTAAAGACAACATTCGTTGAGGTGAGCTCTGTAATCTCTGATTACCTATGTTTATTGAATGCAAACAAAATAGAAGAAAGGGTCAACGACTTTGAAAAAACGGGTATAATTTAAAGATCGGTAATAATATTAAATCATTATCAGAAATAATGCGTCATGTAAAAGTAACCGAGTAATTGATGATGTTTGCATACCTTATGCGTTAATTTAGATTTATTTTAAACAATAATAATTCTATAGCCTCTCCGACACTCTCATACATACAATGTTGAAAATCAAGGCCAGGCGTTTTTTTTTTTACTTCTGTGAAATTTTACGCGTTTAAATTTTACGGATTTATAAAATTTGTAAAAATTAGTAAAAATTAGCAGCACGTAAAAAATACCTGTTATATGGTAGGTCAAATAATGTACCATGTACCACAAACGTTTGGAAAATTTTAATAGGTGAAATAATGTATGGATTACCACAAAAGTTAGGGAAATTTCATTTGCTTATACCTCATACATTACTGCTGTTTATTATACCCCCGCAAACGAAGTTTAGGGGGGTATATTGGAATCAGCATGTCCGTCTGTCTGTCCATCTGTCCGTCTGTCGACGGACAAGATTTTGTCCGGACCGTTTCTCAGAAACTATTGGATGGATTTGTCTGAAAATTTGTACACTTATTATTCATCATATGAAGTTGTGCACCTGGTATTTTCATCATGATTGGGTAATTTTTCTGCATTTTACAGGTGTTTTTTCTTTTTTATTTTATAGTTTTGTTTGGCTCATAACTAAAAAACTATTAGACTGACAATCATCAAACTTGGACAGTTTATGCATCTTGGGTAGAAGGTGTGTCACAACCTATTTTAAGGTCACCGTGACCTTTTAATTTAAGTAAAATTTTAAAAAGAAACCTGTCTTTTACTATTGAATTACGCAATCCCAAAAATGTAAGAGTGTTTCTGTATCCCTGTTTATAAAATGTTAAATTGAGAAAATAATATTTTTTCATTATAAACTTTACAGCAATCCATATCAAATGTTATTTTATAAGCGATAATCTACCTCTCCCAAGGGTATAATTATCAAGCACTGGTCAAGGAGAATTTTGATAACAGAAAATTGCATCCCTTGGTATTTATCAGTGGAGTCATGCATCCAGTCAAAGATTAATTAATGAGTTCAATGTAGGAAAGCTAGCTGTCTCAATCATTTCTGTTAGTTTTTTATCTATGATTAAGGCCCTTTGGGAATTAGACAGAGGAACTGCTGGTCAGTTTAATAAATAGCATATGTCATTTGATGGCCATCCTTCTATTTCTAAAATCAATTTGTTATAGATTAAGTTTTTAATACTAATTAGTTAAATTGATATATTTAAAAAAAAATTAAAATATCAAGTAACAAATTTCAGAGCATCATGTCCCACTTGAAAGATATATGCATATGTGTTTGTTTGTGTGGGAGGAGCATTTGTCAAGCTATAATGCAACCATTTGATGATTATTTGTTATAATTAATGCTTACACCACAGGAGATGTTTAAACAAATATCAAAAGGAATAAAAAAAAAATTATGGAAATCCTTTTAAAGGTTGATGATTTCCTCACACTCTAAACTGTTTATATTAATTGAATGAACAATATTTGACTGGAGTATCATGCTGTGGTGGGCACTTTATTATTTTTAAAATGAATTTGATATAAAGTTATAAAGATTAATTTATTCTGTATAATATTTCTTTTTTCAACAATTATTTTTCAGAGTAGCATGACAAATAATTGCAATTTGTTGTTTTAATGAAATTAAAAAAAAAAACTGTTACAGTGTATTAAATTAGTATTGATGTTTTATTTGCTTGCACTTAGATTCATAAATTGAAAAAAATTAATGAGCATGCAATTATATTTTCACCCGATTTGTTTTAAGACAATAGTGAACACCTCTTAATAGATCCATAAAATATTTGTGAATTGGCACCTACTCTGAAAAAACACAGCGGGGGTATTTGTCCCTATTGGACAGTTCTAGTTAACGTATATGGTATTTTGTATTTTCGGGTAATACAGTGTATTTGTATTGGAAATACAACTGTTCTACGGTGTTTTACCTTTTTTTTCACTTCAGGCTTTTCTGAAAGAATCACAGAAATCGAATGTGGACAGTAATGTGAATGGTGTCAATTCTCCAAGTAAAGTTTAATATTACTCACTTTTACATTTAATTCAGTTTTGTCTAAATGTTAAATTTAAATGAAATATTTATAAACATGCTCTGTGTGCTTTATAAATTTCGGTATTGATAACCTCAGGTGTCTGAATACATCATTCAATAAATTATTTGTCCATCATTTGAGCGTGACAATTGTAGGGTTACTGACAGAGAGCACACCAAGCAGGAGACCATCCGGTAACAGCCAATTAGGGGCTCCGTCTGTAGACCAGCAGAGGAAATATAATGACCTCGTAGTGAAGGCCAAGAAACTCGCGACAGAGGGAAAGATCAGCGAGGCATTGGAATATAACAAGAAAGCTCTGGCCATCTGCTTCAGTGACAAGCTGGAAAAAAGAATACAGAAAATGGAGGTAACCAAAAAAATGTGATTCAGTTTTATTAATTAAGAAATGTGTAGAAATAAGGAATTTTAAATCTTTCCAGGGAATGGTTTAGATTTTCAATCCTCTGGAATCTTTCTATTATTATTAGCTCACCTGAGCCGAAAGCTCAAGTGAGCTTTTCTGATCACATTTTGTCCGGCGTCCGTCTGTCCGTCCGTCCGTCTGTAAACTTTTCACATTTTCAACTTCTTCTCAAGAACCACTGGGACAATTTTAACCAAACTTTATACAAAGCATCCTTGGGTGAAGGGAAATTTAAATTGTTAAAATCAAGGGCCAAGACTTCTTCCAAGGGGAGATAATCAAGAAAATTTAAAAATAGGGTGGGGTCATTAAAAAATCTTCTTCTCAAGAACCACTGGGCCAGAAAAGCTGAAACTTATATGAAAGCATCCCGGGGTAGTGTAGATTCTAGATTGTTCAAGTCATGGCCCCCGGGGGTAGGGCGGGGCCACAATAGGGAATCCAAGTTTTACATAGAAATATATAGGAGAAAACTTTTCAAATCTTCTTCTCAAGAACCACTGGGCCAGAAAAGCTGAAACTTGTGTGGAAGCATCCTTGGGTAGTGTAGATTCTAAATTGTACAAATCATGACCCCCGGTGGTAGGGCGGGGTCACAATAGGGAATCCAAGTTTTACATAGAAATATAAAGGAAAAAACTTTAAAAATCTTCTTCTCAAGAACCACTGGGCCAGAAAAGCTGAAACTTATGTGGAAGCATCCTTGGGTAGTGTAGATTCTAAATTGTTCAAATCATGACCCCCGGGGGTAGGGCGGGGTCACAATAGGGAATCCAAGTTTTACATAGAAATATATAGGGAAAAAACTTTTAAAATCTTCTCAAGAACCACTGGGCCAGAAAAGCTGAAACTTATGTGGAAGGATCTTGGGGTAGTGTAGATTCTAAATTGTTCAAATCATGACCCCTGGGGGTAGGTTGGGGCCACAATAGGGAATCCAATTTTTACATAGAAAGATATAGGAAAAATTTTTGAAAATCTTCTTCTCAAGAACCAATGGGCCAGAAAATCTGAAACTTATGTGAAAGCATCTTGGGGTAGTGTAGATTATAAATTGTCCAAATCATGACCCCTGGTGGGAGGAAATCTGTTAAAGAACAGCATGGCCAAAGTTTCTCAGGTGATCGATGTGGCCCATGGGCCTCTTGTTCCTCTCATATTCATTAATTATCACCATTAACATGTACATGTTGGTTGTAGGCTTTCAGGTTACACTTTGGAAAAAAAAATTAAATTCTTGATTTTTTTTCTCCAGTCCTATCTTGCCAGTAATGAGGATGAGGAGGAGGAAGAAATGGGAGAGAGTGGGGGAATGGTCCACATGGGGAATAATTTCTACCTGTACAAAGACCTGGTGAAGAACCTGTATGCCCACCAGAAACAGGGGGTCATGTGGATGTGGGGGCTCCATCAGAAGCGTAAGGGAGGGATCCTAGGAGATGATATGGGGTAAGTCAATAGGTACATGTTTGTGTAGGTAAATCAGTTGTTAAGAGTTATGTGCTTCAGAAAAAGTGTCTTTGTTCCTGTTAACAATGATTTCTTTTTTTAATCAAGTGGAATGTATTTGCAATTAAATGTTATTTTCTTTCACTTTATACCAAATCCATACAAAAGACAAAAAGGTGTAATCCTTGTAAATCATTTGATAATTAGAAAGTTGAAAATATTAAAAGTTTTCTATTCCTCCAGAGTAATTTTTCATAAAATGTGTGACATTGTAGGTTGGGTAAGACCATTCAGGTGATAGCCTTCCTGTCGGGTCTGTTTGACATGCAGAAAGTCCACTCGGTAATGATTGTGATGCCTGTGTCTGTAATAGGAAACTGGGACAAAGAACTGAAAAAATGGTAAATTTTAAAGAGTGTTTTATTAATTGTTTAAGGACAGTTTTGAATATATTCAGAAATGCATAATATTTTTTTTATTTATACAAAATTTTATTCACAAATAAAAGTGAATTTAATTTTAATGGTCATCTTCATCATGTAAGGGTATCATTATTATAGACACTGTATTTGAATAACCTCAATCTTGGAATTTTTATCTACGTACACATCTCCTTTCCAATGATCCAGGGCTCCAGGTATTAAGGTAGAAGCATATCATGGATCAAAGAAAGAAAAAGAGCGATCTTTAGCTAAGATCAGAAGAAAAGGGGGCATTCTGTTGACTTCTTATGGATTGATCGTCACTAGCTGGGAGGTGATGAGCCAGCAGGATGGAAGACCTTTCAAATGGGTAAAATGCTCAATATCAAATGGGTAAAGTGCTCAATATCAAGTGGGTAAAACGCTCAATATCAAATGGGTAAAACCTCAGTATCAAATGGGTAACACGGTCAATATCACATGGGTAAAACATCCATATCAAATGGGTAAAACCTTAAGAGTAAAACATTAATATCAAATACATGTAGGTAAAACCTGAATATCAAAATGAGATGGATGGTCAGATATGCAGATAAAGCCTGTATATGTACATTGTGTATTATGGTCTAGTTGAAAGGATAATGTAGTGATATTAGACATTGAGAAAGTCACTTTGATTAGTGTATTTGTTGTTATTAACAACTGTTAATGTTTATATATACACTGTGCATATGGGTTGGTTGTAATTAGTAAAGGTTTGTTATCTGAGGTTTGAACATTTTCTTTTCACTAAACATGGTGACTGGTTTTAGGTATGATTTTGTTTATTGAATGACTATGTTATTTTACAGGATTACCTTATCCTTGATGAAGGTCACAAGATAAAAAATCCTACGAAGACAACTAAGGGAGTCCATCAGATCCCAGCCAGTCACAGAATTCTTCTGACCGGTACCCCCATACAGAACAACCTCAGGGTAGGTCAGGGTATCACATACCCCCGTACAGAACAATCTCAGGGTAGGTCAGGGTATCATGTACCCCATACAGAACAACCTCAGGGTAGGTGAGGGTATCATGTACCCCATACAGAACAACCTCAGGGTAGGTCAGGGTATCATGTACCCCCGTACAGAACAACCTCAGGGTAGGTCAGGGTATCATGTACCCCCATACAGAACAACCTCAGGGTAGGTCAGGGTATCATGTACCCCATACAGAACAACCTCAGGGTAGGTCAGGGTATCATGTACCCCCGTACAGAACAACCTCAGGGTAGGTCAGGGTATCATGTACCCCCATACAGAACAACCTCAGGGTAGGTCAGGGTATCATGTACCCCCATACAGAACAACCTCAGGGTAGGTCAGGGTATCATGTACCCCCATACAGAACAACCTCAGGGTAGGTCAGGGTATCATGTACCCCCATACAGAACAACCTCAGGGTAGGTCAGGGTATCATGTACCCCATACAGAACAACCTCAGGGTAGGTCAGGGTATCATGTACCCCATTCAGAAAAACCTCAGGGTAGGTCAGGGTATCATGTACCCCCATACAGAACAACCTCAAGGTAGGTGAGGGTATCATGTACCCCCATACAGAACAACCTCAGGGTAGGTCAGGGTATCATGTACCCCATACAGAACAACCTCAGGGTAGGTCAGGGTATCATGTACCCCATACAGAACAACCTCAGGGTAGGTCAGGGTATCATGTACCCCCATACAGAACAACCTCAGGGTAGGTCAGGGTATCATGTACCCCATACAGAACAACCTCAGGGTAGGTGAGGGTATCATGTACCCCCGTACAGAACAACCTCAGGGTAGGTGAGGGTATCATGTACCCCCATACAGAACAACCTCAGGGTAGGTGAGGGTATCATGTACCCCCATACAGAACAACCTCAGGGTAGGTCAGGGTATCATGTACCCCATACAGAACAACCTCAGGGTAGGTCAGGGTATCATGTAACCCATACAGAACAACCTCAGGTTAGGTCAGGGTATCATGTACCCCCATACAGAACAACCTCAGGGTAGGTCAGGGTATCATGTACCCCATACAGAACAACCTCAGGGTAGGTCAGGGTATCATGTACCCCCGTACAGAACAACCTCAGGGTAGGTCAGGGTATCATGTACCCCCATACAGAACAATCTCAGGGTAGGTCTGATTATCATGTACCCCCATACAGAACAACCTCAGGGTAGGTCAGGGTATCGTGTACCCCCAGTACAAAACAACCTCAGGGTAGGTCAGGGTATCATGTACCCCCATACAAAACAACCTCAGGGTAGGTCAGGGTATCATGTACCCCCAGTACAAAACAACCTCAGGGTAGGTCAGGGTATCATGTACCCCATACAGAACAACCTCAGGGTAGGTCAGGGTATCATGTACCCCATACAGAACAACCTCAGGGTAGGTCAGGGTATCATGTACCCCATACAGAACAACCTCAGGGTAGGTCAGGGTATCATGTACCCCATGCAGAACAACCTCAGGGTAGGTCAGGGTATCATGTACCCCCATACAGAACAACCTCAGGGTAGGTGAGGGTATCATGTACCCCCATACAGAACAACCTCAGGGTAGGTCAGGGTATCATGTACCCCCATACAGAACAACCTCAGGGTAGGTGAGGGTATCATGTACCCCCATACAGAACAACCTCAGGGTAGGTGAGGGTATCATGTACCCCCATACAGAACAACCTCAGGGTAGGTCAGGGTATCATGTACCCCCATACAGAACAACCTCAGGGTAGGTCAGGGTATCATGTACCCCCATACAGAACAACCTCAGGGTAGGTCAGGGTATCATGTACCCCCATACAGAACAACCTCAGGGTAGGTGAGGGTATCATGTACCCCCATACAGAACAACCTCAGGGTAGGTGAGGGTATCATGTACCCCCATACAGAACAACCTCAGGGTAGGTGAGGGTATCATGTACCCCCATACAGAACAACCTCAGGGTAGGTCAGGGTATCATGTACCCCCATACAGAACAACCTCAGGGTAGGTGAGGGTATCATGTACCCCCATACAGAACAACCTCAGGGTAGGTGAGGGTATCATGTACCCCCATACAGAACAACCTCAGGGTAGGTGAGGGTATCATGTACCCCCATACAGAACAACCTCAGGGTAGGTGAGGGTATCATGTACCCCCATACAGAACAACCTCAGGGTAGGTGAGGGTATCATGTACCCCCATACAGAACAATCTCAGGGTAGGTGAGGGTATCATGTACCCCCATACAGAACAGTATTAGGGTAGGCAGGGTTTGACATTAAGCTTTTGGAATACTAGACCAATCGGGCTACTCTGGCAAATTTTTACTAGCCCTGACCCTTTAATCACTAGCCCTGACCAAACTTGAGAAAACATATTTCAAGTACAAAAAAGTGATAATTGTTTTTTCTGTGCAGATGTCAGATGAGAATCCATATTTAAAATAACATTTTCTCTCACACGTCACATCGAAACTAGGTCATATACATGTGACTTGTCGTGTTTCGTCCTAGTTTAATCAACTTGTATACAATATTAATTGATACCATTAAAATGTTCATAAAATTTAGGTATAGTAAGAATAATTTAATTATTATAGTTTTACTGTTATTTACATGATTACCGATGTCCTAAACGTGAATCTTTCGACAGTGACAATCGTAACTACTCAGCCATTTACGTGAATGATAAATAGCTCATTGTTTCTCTCTAGGAAAATGGCCGAGCAGTTACGAATGCCAAAATACATGTATGAACTGTTGTTAAAAATAGCGCTTCAGTCATGCTGTCTGTAACGTATCTACTATGCCGTTAGAAGCGTTTTATTTTTTCATCGGCAATAAATAATTATTTAAAAATATATAATAAAATCCTTTATTTTTCTACACGACCAGTCGGTCTAGAACACAGACATTTTACCCGACCGGACCCATCTTTTACTAGACTCAGTCGGTCGGACGTGCCTTAATGTCAAACCCTGGTAGGTCAGGGTATCATGTACCCCAATACAGAACAAACTCAGGGTAGGTCTGATTATCCTATACCCCCATACAGAACAACCTCAGGGTAGGTCATGTACATGTGTAGGAGTGACTTCAGGTTTATCAGTATCCACTAATTTTTATAATGATTACTTCACTGCTTTCCACAAAATTAAGTTAGGGTTGAATAATTAAGCTATGATTGTTTTTAATCACTGAATCAGATGCTGTAGATTTTATTGTTAGGAATTACAAAGTACAAAACCTTGTTGTTTTATTCTTTCTCTCTGAATCTTTAGGAGATGTGGTCCTTGTTTGATTTTGTACATCAAGGGACATTACTGGGGACGGCAAGGACCTTCAAGATGGAGTTTGACACCCCAATAACCAGGGTATGTAAGAAGTATGAAATAACTTAACAAAGCTTGTTTTCCCCCCTTCCAACTTTTAAACAGATCATAAATTTGATTCATGTTTGTTGAGTGAGTGAACATGTGAAATAATTTAGAAGTGTGACATTGTAAGCAAGCTTTCCTTTGATTATAGGCCAGGGAGAGAGACGCCACTGCTAACGAGAGAAAACTAGGGATGGAGATGGCTGAGAGCCTGAAACAGATTATCTCCCCTTACTTCTTACGGAGAACGAAGGCCGAGGTGATCGACAAGGAGGAGAAGGGGGAACTAGACGTGTCGTCTTCTACCAAGAGTCTGAAGTAAGTGTTCAAATTTTACACAAAGTGTATGGTGTCTGTTTCAAAAAAATGGAAGAAGAATGAAAATATGGATTGCTTTTCTGTCCTTGTGTGTATTAAATTAAGAATTTTCATTTTAGCTATGGCAAAGACTTGAAGTATGTAATCACATTCACTTTTACATGTTCATCTTGCCCCTGTTGACTTGTTAACTTTAATAAGCTTGTGTTGAAGATTCGTATTTTTCTGGGCTAGAGACCAGAGTAATGGTTATACATGTCAAGGGAAGCTATTCTCTCTATAGAGGGAACCTGTAGCATCATTTTTGCTATTGTGGTTTTATTGTATTTTTTTTAAAAGAAAATTATATTTTTGTATTATCTTTTTTTCTGTTGATGTTTCAGTTGGCAAAGCTGTATAGGCTTTCATTAGTTACTGAAATATGTTGTTATATTTTTTTTTTAAATCCAGAGAATGAAAATCATTTTTTGTTCAGCACAAATCTATTTTAAGCATGCTAATTGTAACTGTTTTATTTCATGTAGTAATGGATAATATACATGTATTCAGTTTGATACATGATAATGATGTCACAGCATTGAATTCCCTGTAATTTCTTCATGGTTGCTATAGTTAAATTTCAGTATACACTTGTACATTAACTAACTGTATGGGGAGAGATCTAAGTTTTTTGGAACTTTTGTCTAATCCCTTTGAAAAAAAAAATTGTCAACAAAATAAATGTTCAGAACACCTGTGCTTTGTTTAGGATGCCATCAATGACGAGGAAGAACGACCTGATTTTGTGGCTGTTCCTGACACCTGACCAACAGAGGATCTACAGCGACTTCTTATCCCTGGACTCTGTTAAAGAGGTAACATTGCTAGGAGGGACAGAAAAGGGGGAAATATATTTATTTTTGATAGATTTTATGTTCTCTTGATGTTACGTAATTAAAAAGGTGAACTTTACAGTATAAATCTCTTTTCCTTATCTAGCTAAATTGTGTAAAGAATTCTATTTATTCTAACACCTTATGACCTTTATCCCAAAAAAAGGTTGAATTAAAAATTTGATTAAAACTTTAAATATACATTATAAAATAAAAATCACTTATCACAAAGAAGTGAATAATAATCATTGCCTGTACACACATTTCCAGCTACTGATGACGAAGAAGTCTCCCTTGGTGGCTCTGACAGTGTTGAAGAAGATCTGTGACCATCCTCGTCTCTTGTCACGGAGAGCGTGCGCTCAACTTGGTCTGGATGGAGAGCATGCGTAAGTACTGATCACAAGGATTTATAGGATAAATGCATACAATCATAGAATAGTACATGCCATATTCTTATTACTCTGAATATTGATTTAGAATCTATGTGTATGTGTAATACTTTATTGAAATATAACTGTATATGATTCACATGAACATTTTATATTGTCTGTGTGTGTGTAGGTTAGATGACTCCGCCCTTGAGTCAGAGGAAGGCCACCAGTGCGCAGCCAATCAAATCAAGAACATGCCAGACAATGTCCTGATCCAGGAGTCGGGGAAACTGATCATCATTATGGATTTACTGGACCAGATGAAGCGGGAGGGACATCGCTGTCTCGTCTTCTCTCAGTCCAGGAAGATGCTGGACATTATCCAACAGCTTATCTCCAACAGGGTAAGGTCAAGGTCACATTCCTATTAGGCTGGTCCAAGTGTCAGTGCAATATTCTTCATAAAGGTGTGTCATACTTTTATTTTCTGTAGTAGAATTTGGGTTAACATGGAAGCATATTAAACATGTTTTCTTAATTCTTTATTTGTAAAATAGTATTCAGTGGTATAAAGAAGTGTCATCTTTCATGATCATGAAATTTAATATACTGAAAAAATCAATCTACTGAGATATCAGTACTGTATACCAAATTATGGATACGGTGAAGTCATAGTGATTTATGTTGTATCTAGCAAATAGTTTTTAGCTCACCTGAGCCGAAGGCTCAAGTGAGCTTTTCTGATCACATTTTGTCCGGCGTCCGTCTGTCCGTCTGTCTGTCTGTAAACTTTTCACATTCTCGACTTCTCAAGAACCGCTGGGCCAATTTCAACCAAACTTGCCACAAAGTATCCTTGGGTTAAGGGGATTCAAGTTTGTTCAATGAAGGGCCATGCCCTCATTCAAGGGGAGATAATTGGGAATTCATGAAAATTTGGTGGCATGTTTTAAAAATCTTCTTCTCAAGAACCACTGTGCCAGGAAAGATGAAACTTATAGGGAAACATCCTCAGGTAGTGTAGATTCAAATTTCTTCAAATCATGACCCCCGGGGGTAGGGCGGGGCCAAAATGGCCGACCAAAGTTTTACATAGAAATATATAGGAAAATTCTTTAAAAATCTTCTTCTCAAGAATAACAAAGCCACAATTGATCATATTTACATGGAAGCATCCTCAGGTAATGTAGAATCAAATTTGTTCAAATTATGACCCTCTGGGGTAGGGCGGGGCCACAATGGCCAACCAAAGTTTTACCTAGAAATATATAGGAAAATTCTTTAAAAATCTTCTTCTCAAGAAAAGCAAGGCCATTTTTGATCATATTTATATGGAAGCATCCTCAGGTAGTGTAGATTCAAGTTTGTTCAAATCATGACCCCCGGGGGTAGGGCGGGGCCACAATGGCCGACCAAAATTTAACATAGAAATATATAGGAAAATTCTTTAAAAATCTTCTTCTCAAGAATAACAAAACCATAATTGATCATATTTATATGGAAGCATCCTCAGGTAGTGTAGATTCAAATTTGTTCAAATCATGACCCCCGAGGGCAGAGCAGGGCCAAACTGGCCGACCAAAGTTTTACATAGAAATATATAGGAAAATGCTTTAAAAATCTTCTTCTCAAGAATAACAAAGCCATGATTGATCATATTTATATGGAAGCATCCTCAGGTAGTGTAGATTCAAGTTTGTTCAAATCATGACCCCTGGGGGTAGGGCGGGGCCACAATGGCCGACCAAAGTTTTACATAGAAATATTTACGAAAATTCTTTAAAAATCTTCTTCTCAAGAATAGCAAAGCCATGATTGGTCATGGGCCTACTTTTGGATTTAAGCTTTTCAATAATAAACAAATTCTACTTTTTCCAAACCACAGTGCTCAGGTGAGCGATGTGGCCCATGGGCCTCTTGTTGTATCTAGTGATGTTAAGGAAAGAAATTATTTAAAAATAATATTGTATAGTAGATTCCCAATCTGCTTCAGCTCTCTTTAATCAATGTACAATTGTACATTCTTAGAGAACCTGTGTATTTAATGATAAGGTTAAATTGTATCAGGGTCACAAGGTCATGCGGCTGGATGGCACTATTACTCAGCTGAGCGAGAGAGACAGAAGAATCGCCACATTCCAGGAGGACATGAGTTACTCCGTGTTCCTACTCACAACACAGGTTATCTGACACTGGTTTGAAATAATACATGTTCATTAGATTGAAATGGACATGTTCTTCTCATCCAAATGTAACCCTGTGGAGATGAGATCACATGTCCAATAAATGAAAATATTCAAGTAATTTAATTTTTATGGACTTTAACTACATGTATGATCAGAAGCAGTTGAAGTTAGAAATGCATTTAAACATTGTTTGCTACTGAACAGATTTTTATTTAAATGAATTTAAAGTCTGAAGTTATTTAGAATTTTTTTTTTAATTTAAATTTTGTTTTAATTAGGTGGGAGGTGTGGGTCTGACTTTGACAGCTGCAGATAGAGTCATCATATGTGAGTAAAAATGGAAGCGAATAGAGTTTGGGTCTGATTTCAGAATGACATGGTGCACATGGTAGACCATATAAATATTCATATTTATTATAAGTACACACCAACAAATCTAAAGTCTCATCATAATCTTTTAGTTCAATGTAAAAATTCTTCAAAAAGACATGAAAATTGCTGTCTCATGCACCACTCTTTAATTTGTTGCCATGGCACTCATATTGTTTTAAAAAGATTTTTTTTTTTGAGGCATTGAACAAGAAAAAAATTATTAGTTAATTGTAAAGAAAAATATTGCCCATACAAATACATATATGCCAGTATATCCAGCAGTTTACATGCACTAGGACAGTATGTGTTGTAATTTAGATGATCCTAGCTGGAACCCTGCCACTGATGCCCAGGCTGTGGATAGGGTCTTCAGGATTGGTCAGGATAAAAATGTCGTTATCTACCGCCTCATTACGTGTGGTACAGTGGAGGAGAAAATCTACCGCAGACAGATATTTAAAGACTCCATAACCCGCCAGACAACCGGGAACTCCAAAAATCCCTACAGGTAAATATAAAGCAAACCTATAAGTACATTGTAAAAGCCAGGCAGGTAAATAAAGGCTGACAATACCTACAAATGTATGTATCTTTTATTACATGTTCACTTCAATATTTTTACCCTGAGTCCCTGACCCTGTAACCTTGACCATGTTATTTTATTTAATTTGCATGTAGCTCAGTTTTAAATAACTTATGAAGATATTTTTGTTAATACATGTCTATACTGAAACTTATTAGTGAGAGCTGTGCAGCTGTGTCCAAAATATTTTCCTCCTTTACCTTAACCTTGAACCTTTATGCAATTGAGGCACATTCCTTTTCGTGTTGCAATACAAATGAGACCTGGGTGGAGCATTAATGTCCTATGGACATATTTCCAGGTTTCCGACACAGCTAAATGTCTTCATAGAAAAATGAATAATTGTTGTGAAAAACTTTGAAAAGAATCAGTAAATATACTTAAACACCCAGTTTTATGTTAACGCCCCCAAAATCTACCTGATTCAAGATCAATAATTTACCGCCTGTCAATCATTAAAAAAACAACAGCTTCTGATTTGATTGACAGGTCAGCTACCTGATAATCTGAGGTTGCTTATTTTGAAGAGAATGGCCTTGTCGCATGCCAAACTCTTTCATGTACCCGCCTTGTATACACGCGGGTTAGAAAACTCCATATGTTTAAATTCTATTTCAAAAAATAATTGAAAATACGTATATTATTGAAACATTTACATCATAAAATATATCTTTTCAACCCTCACGACTGTTTGTTACTTGTAAGATTTTTACAGTCCACGAAAACTGAACTGAGAAAAAAAGACCGTCCACAGAAACTCAATTTGCCGTAATTGGAAGTCCGACGATAATAAAATTATTTTTTAAGAAATGGGATATAAGATAAATATTCAGCATAATCGGCATATAGTTTACAAAAGATGTTTTATTTTGTACAAAGGCTACAAACACGAAGTAGTACAGAAATTTATGTCAGAATTAATGCTCGAATTTCCTCTAGCGTTTGTCTATATTCGTAATGAAAGGGTGAAGATAATTAATAGTGATCGATTCTGAAGAGAAATCTTTCTAACGATAAAATTTTGTTAACGCACGAACAATCGAAAATATTGAAGATTTTAGAAATTGTTAGCCAGAAAATTATAAAAAAAAAAATCCGATGGTGGTAAATGTTCACATGCACGACGGATAAATGGATTAATTATTTTTTCATTTCAATATTCAGACTTTTTTTATTATGATGATTTCTTTTATTGAAGATTAAAAAAATAAATGTTATTTCTTTGTAGTTTTTACTCGAAACTGAACATTTTATAAAACGGTATATCTTTATATTTTTTTTCCTTCAAAACATTACGATGAATGCAGTTAGTTTACCAAATAAAGTTCATATTAAAATAATAATTTTATGTAGTTTCACTCAAAACTAGACACAAAACATGTTATGTTGAGTGTTGACCCTGATTACCAAACACAGACTTCCTGAGTACTGCTACGTGTATATAGATTTTTGACATCTTGGGTATTGGGGGTCTCCAGGTAAATAACACCACTGTTGCTTGGACCAATCCCCCTCCTCAGGTAACCGTACGGTAAAAGAATTGGGTCTTTAACAATTAATGAAACTAAAATTTTGAATTTCGATTTAAAAAGATATGCTTGTACAAAACTAGATATATCGATAACTAGAGGTACTGTGAGCAATGAGCTCACTAAATGATACCCCCCGCCTCCCATATGATTATAATGGCAAAGTCCATGTTTTGCGGTGGCCGGGAAACCCAAAATATTTGTCGGATCAAAAAATAAAATAGGAGGTGCACAATGGCAATATGTAATCAAGATTCTGTGAAAGTTTCATTAAATTTCACTCAGTGGTTTAAGAGGAGTTGAGGATAAGAGATGGGTACCCCAAAGCGTAACAGACGGACGGACGGACGGACGTACAGACAGACGGACGGACGGACGGAATTAACAATTACTATATACCCTCCCGCTTTTCAAGCGGGGGGTATAATGAAATGGTACAAGCATACCACATTTATCTTCTTTGATTGCATCCTTTTCTGAAGTTCCAGAATAATGCTCATTGAAAACAGTCACTATGCATTCCTTCAATATTTTACTTGCAGAGTATATGGATGTATTAAAGTGGATGGAATTTATTTACAAAAATTGTCCATTTTCTATAGAATGTGACAGTGAAAATTCATTTGTTTCTTATTTTGAAGAGATCTTGAATTAAACAATTAAATTTATAATTCAGAACATTACACACTGGGAATATTAACTGTATATTCCTTCAAGTTTATGCAATTTGAATTTACCTCTTCAAACTTCCACTAGATGGCTCACTTAAACCACCATCCTGTATTATTTTTAAGATATTCATGTTTTAATGAGATGGTGTTTCTTACCCACTGGCCTCTTAATAAGAATATACTAGAATATGTATTCTTCACCAAAGCTGTAACTGTAAATATCTATAAAATTAAGGGGTTTTGCAACAATTCTTAGCAGTTTGTTGCAGTTTAATTGTTGTTGGGGATTAAAATCAAGAGAGAATATTTGAATGATTTACAGCAAATAAGTCCATGACATTAAGTCATTAATTGTATAAAGTCAAGTATCAGGTAAGTTAGAATGTTTAAAGTGTAGCTTTCACATCGAGTCCAAATTAAAGACCATAGTAAATGTAAGGACATTATACTTATGGGGCTAGTGTGTGAGTAAGAATTTTGCCACTAGAAATTGTTTATTTGGCTATTAGTGATGTAACCTTGTCTGCCGATCTGTTATTCAACATTTTATATTCTAGATGGTGTATAAGAAATCTTTTAAAGGAGTGTGTACAGTAGTTGTTGATTTTGTCCCATTGAGATCCCCAGCATCAGTAAGTGCTAGTACTTCTGATCAGACTAGCACATTAGTGATAGTGGGAATGGTGGAGGATCGTAGATATTCAATTTATTTAAGAAAGGAAATGGGTTCCCTTGGGGATGAAGGAGAGAAAAAAGAGGGAGATGTATGAAAGAAAGTGGATTGTTTGGTTTTGTCTCCTCATATATAAAAAAAATTCAATGCATTCCTATTTTCCCAGCATCTGTAAGTGCTAGTTCATTTTCTTCTCATACCAGCCCACTACAAATACAGGGAAAAAAGAAACACAAGTTTGCCAATGTGCCATCATTTGGTGTTTGAAGGAGTGGATATGGAGAAATTATTGTAAGAAGTCGTAATGTAAAACATGGATCGCCTGGCATCATATTGGTGCAGATTCTGCCTTAGTACTTTCTACACACAACATTGTGCCAAGGGTCCACATCTTCTAAGAATATAAATATTTGTTCATTTAAAAGAAATAGGTCAGGGAGTAGGATAGAAGGAGTGGATATGCTGATGTGGGGCTTGTCATAGATCTGGCATTAGTTTGGTGCACATTACTTGAAGTGTGACACCAGACAAAATGACAGGATATGGCACAGCCAACAGGAAAGAACAGTTTGAAGTGTGCAGCTGTCAACAGATGGCGCTGTCCCTCTGGCATCTCATTGGTGCAGGTTCAAAGGTCATCCCTCACCAATCAGATAAGAGGGTCAGTTACATCTTGTTTCAAGTAGAATTAGAGAATTAGCAAAATGTTTTGAAAAATAAAAGTTGAATGGAAGTATCAAAGAAAGAAACAGAAATTTCGATATCCAACTAGTAGTTGATTCTTCCTCCCTGAAAAAAATAATGTGCACTATGAACATTTATGTGCTAATCAGACCACCTAATTAAGATGTCTGGAAAATTTAAAATTTTATTTTAATTTTGTATACTCATTACCGAAAATTGAAGAAGTGAAGCCATGCTTTCTCTCACTAATGTACAGATTTTCTGTTCTGATATGCATTAGACCTTTTCTTCGAAAGAAACATTTATTTATTGGAAGCTGTTAGCCAAAAATGCGTTTGAGAGTTGACAGTGCTTTATCAGTGCCCCAGCATTGGTAAGTGCTTGTCTCTTGTGTAATACATGCACTGCACCAATACCTAGGAACTAATGCATCAGCATGCACTGCATTGATTGACATGAATCAATTTGTTTTTTTTGTTAATTTAATTGAATTTACTCAAAATCATGCAGTATTAAATTCATGAATTTGACATGCAGTGTTTAGTTTGAATTAAATTAGATTAAAGTAATATGCAATAGTATTTTACTTTTTGGACGGTGTAATTTTTTTTTACTTTAATAAATAACTTCAGATATAAATATTCAGTCTACATTGAAAAAATATTTAGTGTCATTAAAGAAAAGGCATTTTTTAACAGCTTTTTTAAATTATACCAAAAAGGAATTTGTGGAATGTCATTGTTACTTCTAAGAAATTGTCAAGAAAACACCCTAAGGCTTTATTGCTGAATTTTCTCTCTTTGATCCTTTACAAAAGGGTTTACACAGGTGTTCATATCAAGCTTATCATTTACAAGAAAAGGTTATTTAGACATGCCCAGATAAAGGGGCTTGACTCCTTGGGGCCCCATGTAGGGCACCTTGCTATACACGCTGTCATGTTTGTGATAACATTCACAGCTTGTTCCCCACAAACACCTCTGTTTACACTGTGACATGTGTTTACTAAACAATACTGGCAAATTTATGATGTAAACAATTGTCTGGAAAATTAGTTTCAAATGGAATTTTAGTATCAAATTCCAATAAAATTGGATGAGTCCATGAAAAAAATGTAAAAATAATCAATTCAACAATTTAGAAAAAAGAAACAAATATTAGCAATTTTGTAAAATAAAATGTTTCTGGAAATTTCTGAAATTTTCATTGGATTTTCATAACAAAAGGAATTTTAAAGGTTTTTGGAAAATACATAAAAATATTGATTACAACAATGAAAATAAAAGAGGATTTAGATAAAAGATCTTTTTAAAGAAAAAGACAGACAAGGATCCACCTTGTAGCACACCAAATAAAAATAGGTTTTACAAATATATATGATTTGATATTTACATGTAAAACTTTGCTAGACTAAGAAAATGTAGTTCTTTTATAAGTGTATGCACTTAGAATATGAATAATATTATAGAAGTCAAATAATTAAAATTTAGCCAAATTTTATCAAAACTAAAGAAGAAAAAAACCAATATTAATTGACAACTTTTACCTCTTTCTGACACTAAATACTTGTCCTTTTCCAAAAGTGGTTGAAACACAAATAAACCTGGGAACAGAAGAAAACATATCAATTAACCTCTGGATTTGCTCAAAACAAGTTCAAGCAAAATGGTTTTTGTTGAGCTTGTTAGAGCTCCTTTGTCCTCTTCTTAATTCTGAGTTATTTTCTTGTGCATTTCTAAATCAGTAAATCCACCAAGCACCATAAAAAAGCTGGCTGATCACAAAAACAACTTAATTATCCCCCTTTGTATTGGCTTGCCAGACAATGGTGTGATAATTGGACAGGTAGGCTGTTGCCATGGTTAGCTTGGGTCTGGCCAGACAAAGACCTGAAAAAGTGTCAGAGTTCCCATAATCCTAGTTTGTTTTGACCAGTCAGAGTAGCCTGGCTAAATTCCCCTCAAGCCATACTAATTGAATAGAGACAGACCATGTAATGTAATTAGATAAGGCACCCACAGGGGAAACAATCCATATTTATATATAAGATATATATTGTTTAGTTTCTGTCAGTGCTAGAAAAGGAAATGATATATTTTTTAAAAAAGAAATCACCATGAAATGCAAACCCTGAAAAGGAACCTTGAGAAAAGAAAATTTCACATACAAAAATTTGAAACTGTCCACAAAATTTGCAATTTTTTCTGTCCATATGATAACAGAAAATATAATATGAGTATTGCCAGAAGAAGAATAGAAACTAGTAAATCACTTAATACAAAATATCTGCTGAATGTTTATATCCAAGAATTCAGAAAGAGGATTTTATGTATTAATTTATCTATAAAATCCTACCCCTCATGTCTCTTCTCCTTGCTGTACCCCACTGAGAGATAGCTAAGTGTTTTGTGATACATAGATAGATAAGGGCTTGTTTCCCAGCAAGATGATGTTGTTTTCTGGACATTATTATTTTACAAGCATTCTGACACTTTTACACCACTTCTAGCAATTTTCAGAATGTGTCAAATATTTGTTAATTTTAATTAAAGAGTTCAACTCAGAAACATATTTTAAAGTTTTTGAACTTTGAATATTATTTAAATTTAAAACTACACAAGTGTCTGTCTCTTGTCTTAACAAATTACCCAACTGTATGTATCATCCATTTTTAAGATAATTGTAAGATATGAGAAGCAGAATGAAAAACACAATTGCATGCATAATAGATTAACCAAATTTTTTTCTGCGTGAATACAATTGAAAATTTTTAAAACTTTTTCTGTCAATAATGAATATCCACTCATAGATTTGAATGTAGTAATAAACTGAAACTTAGAATCCATTTCATAATATTAGCTGTAATTGTGTTTGAATTGGATAATGTGTTTGCCAGCCATTCTTTCTGGTTTCAGACTTACCTAACATTAAATCTCTTTGATATTAAGCAGAGATTGTAAGAAGCTTAAGAAGGATTAGTATTAGATACTATTGAGAACCCAAGCACCCATCCCTGACTGTTTTATGTGCTACACCTTTTTGATGACCATAGGAAAATATTAAAATTTATACATAAAAACTTGGTCACATCAGTAGATACCTACATAGATGAGGTTAATAGACATATAAATTTATATTGAAGGAATTTCCACAACTGTTTTCATAATATTCAGATATGAATTAAGCTGTACTGTACAGTATATATACTTGAACCAAGATTAAAGACATTCTAGTTAAGTTGTATATTAAATAATTTATTTATACAAATAATGAATGAAGTTTAGTTGAGGTGAAATGTATTACAATTTATAAGTAGTAGAAACCTTCAGAATTTGCATTTATCAATAATATGTAGCTTAATTTTTTTTCAGCTAATTTTTTTTTTTAAATCTTAACTTTGACTTCAGATATCAAAAATCAGAAATCAGATATTTGAGAATTCTCCAATTAATAAATATCCCATAAAAACATAATGAACTTGTGATTATTGTTCATGTTTTTGTGTAAACAGTTTATTTGGAGTTTTGGTTCATACAATATCATGTACCGGTACCATGTTACTTAGATTTTACCATTTTCCTTCTGTCAAATGCAGCACATACAATTTTGAGGCTTTACTAATATGCATTTTCATGTCGGAATAAAAGTACTTTTTATGCCCCCCTCTTGAAGAAGGGAGGGCATATTGCTTTGCTGCTGTCTGTCGGTCCACCAAGTTCATTTTCTTTGTAGCGGTTGCACATACTAAAATGAAATTTGGTATATAGATTTATATGAAGAATATATCTAGGCCAAGTTTTGTTTTGAAAATGATTGAGCTATTTTTGTCAGTTATGCCCCTTGGACTGAAAAAAATTCTAATTATTTGCAGTTTCTGTTCCTTTTTCTTTGCAGTGGTTCCAGATTATGATATACTAAAATAAAATTTGGTAATACATATTTATCATAAGAAAATCTAGGTCAAGTTTTGTTTTGGGTACCATCAAGCTATTTTTGTCAGAGTTATGCCCCTTGAACTTGGGGAAATTCTTACTATTTGAGGGAGGGAGACATAAGTGTTTTACAAACATCTCTTGTTTTTTCAGGTGACTAAATAGAACATACATATATTATAAATAATTTGATTTCGGAACCAAGCAGGTTTCTACTGATTCTGGTAATGATATATTTGATCTGCTGTAAATGTACAGTAAATTTTCTGGGTTTCGTGTTTTAGGTACTTCACAAAGCAGGAGCTGAGAGAGTTGTTCACCCTTGACAATCCACGGATCTCGAAAACTCAGCAGCAGCTGGAGGAGATGCACAGTCATCAGAGAAATACGGACTCATCACTCGATGCTCACATCGCATTTCTCTACTCACTCGGTCAGTAGTCAGTGTTCTGTGTCACTGCTCTGTTACAGACTCTTTAACATGCTGCTACTACATGTCAGAAACAAAACGAACAGTTCACAAAATGAAACGAATCGTGCACAATGCAAAATGTACCATTCACAAAGCATACTGTACCATTAACAAAACAAACCATGTGCGAAATGAAATGAATCGTGCACAAAGCGAAATGTACCATTCACAAAGCGAACCATTCACAAAATGAAACAAACTGTTCCATGCAAGTGGTGTAGTAGGATGGTTTAGGGTCTGTATTTTCCTCAGTTTTTGATAAGAAAAAAAAATTATATGTTTCTTCTGACAAAGTGATGTTTTATCATGTTTATGTCAGTGCAATTTTATTTTTTAAAAAAATTCTGCCAAAAGGACTTTACTTTTTATGCTCATCTCATTAGCACATTTCTCTTCTCATATGGTCAGTGACTAAAATATTTGTATCATCACTGATTGCTCTTACTAAATGTTGCCCATAGTTTAGATATCAATAATGAGTGTGTGACATAAGCCATGTTATAGATATTTTTTTTATGTTTTGTAGAGATATTTGGTATCAGTGACCATGACTTGATGTTTATACATGTATATTGTAGAGATATTTGGTATCAGTGACCATGACTTGATGTTCACTCAGGAGAAATGCGACTTTGAAGACAACGGTGAAGCAGAGGTGGAACATGGAGATGACTACATACAACACAGGGTCTGTATAACACAACTCAACATAAATACAACAGAGTCTGTATTTAGCCATCATATCTTATTTTACAAACAACACAGGGTCTGTATTAGGCAACTCAACATACAAACAACACAGGGTCTGTATTAGGAAACTCAACATACATACAACACAGGGTCTTTATTAGGCAACTCAACATACATACAACACAGGGTCTGTATTAGACACCTCAACATACATACAACACAGGGTCTGTATTAGGCAATATACCGTAATTTTGGGATTATAGGTTGATGGGGTATATAGGTCGAAAGGCTCATTTTCAGCCTTAATTTTTGAAAAATCCTAAGATAGGGCGAACTTACTATATAGGACGAGGCTTTCTTTCCCATTTTCTAAAGATTCTTATGCAGATACAACGTATCAGAACAGGTAAAACCCTAAAATTACCGGGGTTATTCCGTGACATGAACGTATCAAGAAAATAAACAGGTATTTTAATGAGTACAGCATTTAAATTAAGTTTTTTTTAAAAATGTAGTTAAAACTTCTTTGAATTGTGTTACTACTTATTTTTCTCCAACTTGCGTGTTCAATCAATCAATGCCTCCGTAGTTTCACACTGTTGTTAAATCAGAGGCATAAATAACACGTAAATACGTTATTTTTTTACAGCTATAATACGGGAAATACCCGAGACCAATGAATAGCAATTCCGATTTCAGAATAACTTGGACACATTCCTAATAAATTTTATTCAGACAGTATTTACCGGTGGACGACAATTACTTCGATGTCCGCCATTGTTATTTTTCTACTCCAGGGATTGGCTAAATGACGCAAATGACCATTGAATGTATATATCAAGCAACAGTAAAGAATTGAAATCATATTAACACTCTATAAGTTTAATTTATAAATTTAACTGAGAGTACATTCACAATTTGACTGTCAACATGAATTTCACGGCTTTGTTTGTTCAATGAAGTGTAACACTAATACCCCTATAATGGCACGTGGGTTTCTTAATCATGCCCCGCAGGCAATTAATTGAATAACACAGGTGTTGTTTAACACCTTTGCGTACACAGTGTAAATCCCTTTATCTGTCAGACAATTAAAATTTTGTTAGAAGCCAATGTTTGTATACCGGTAGTTCAATGTACTTCTCGTGTACGAAGCTTTTAATAATGGCAACAAATTATTTCACTCATTTTACATTTAAATAAACATAAGACAATAAAAAATATTTAATATACTATTTCAATTTATCGCTACTAATAAATGGTAAAAACACTATAGTTGTGATCGTGAAAATTTTCCGTATTTTAAATTTTGATACGGTTGCGGTTTTACTTTTAGTACAAGATCGCGACTTCCTAGCTTCACAAGATGGATACCGCATGATGTTAATGGATAATACGTTGAGGAATTATTTAATAGGTGAAGCAATGTTGTTTTCCTTTCTCATCAACGGATAATTAATGGAATTTATTTTGTAAGAAAGTTTTAGAATAATAATGTTATTGTTTATCGGGGCATTAATTTTTTTTGCGAAAAATAATCAAAAAAGTTACAAAAGGGGCACATATTTTCTTTGAAATTGACGTAAATTTTACTGATTTGGGGGGCATTTTTCGTAAACTTGAGCCTTAAATAGGTCGAATTCTGAATATTGGTCGACCCCAGCGGTTCTGAGAAAAAAAGTATCGACCTATATTCCGTAAATTACGTAGCTTAAGTATATAATAACAAGTTACATTCAACACAGTGTCTGTATCAACCAACATAGCTAAAGTATATAATAACATCTTATAATATAAAGGACCTCTTTCTACTTTTTTAATTGTTCCCTTCTGTTTCTATTTTAGGCACAACCCTGTGATATATTTCATTTGGCTCATTTTAGTGTATGATGTACAAGCAAAGCCATATAAATTAGAAATATTGTTTTGTAAATTTAAAAAAATGTTTTGATAGGTACAAAAGGCAAAGGAGTTGCTTCAGATGGAGTCGGATTTAACACAGGATTTTGAACAGAGAACCGGGAAATACCAGAGAAATGTTCCAGCTGGGCCAGAGGATGCTGGGTCCCAGAAACCATTCTCTCGCCCCTGGTCTGACTGGAATCTCCAGGGGACGGTCAACACTCAGGAGGAGGATGTCAAGGACGTACAAGGTCAGTCAGGTCAAAAAGGTCAAGGATAAAATGGGCAGAATTGATCTTTTCATAAACCCAACGTAGTGATTTCAATATATTTTTAGTATTACAAAGATGATGATTATGAATTTAAAAAAGTTGAAACAAAGGATTGTTTGATTCAATTAAGAAAAATATTCTGAAGAAATTTGATTCTTCACAGAGATAGACTTGGATGCTGAGAACGTTGATGATGATGATGACGAAGAAGAGGAAGACAATTATGTTAGAGAAGTGAAGGCTGAAGTATTGGAGACCAGTCATATTGACCTTGTGACCCCAGAGCCCACCCCCGTCAAGGGCAGCAATATGGTGGTGGATCTGACTGCCACCACACCAGGAATCATAGTAAAGACAAAGCCAGAATTAAACAAGGTATAAAATGCGTATAAAATGCTGGTTACATTGTTCTGTAGAGTGTTTTGTTTTTGCTTGCTGTAGTTTTCATCTGTTTGCATTCTGGTATCTTTGTGCAACCAAACCTTTTTATTTCAAACTACATGTAGATAGGTCAGGAATAAATTTATAGATAGATGGGGATACTAGATATTAAGGTTGAAGTAATTATAGAGAAAGTTATGGGATCCCAAACTCTTACAAATCCATGGTATTTTGTGGTACATGCATCAATACTAGAGACTTGAAATTTAATTGTATATGGTCAATTCTTGTTTATATACTTGTACATTGTATAAAAGTCTACATGTACCTGCAAAAAGAGTTTTAAAAAAAATGCAGTTCTCAAAGAATTTTTCTGGATAAAAAATCTTGTTTCATAAATTCATATTGTAGACTGACATCAAAATGGAATCTGAACAAACTGAAATAAAGACTGAAGTATTGAGTCCAGGACAACATATAGAAGAGACCGCAGAATCAGAGGAGGAGGTTCAAACCATTGAACATTTAGGAAATCTTTCTATTAGGGCTAGTCCCAAAAGGACCTCTTTGGATAGAGACAGTATGTTAGAGCCTGATTCAAATGATAGGGAAAGTAACACTTCCAGTAATGGAGGCATGGTTTCAAAAAGCCGAGATGAAGATGTAATGCAGGAAGATGAAAATCTGGAAGATGTAGAAGAAGAGGAGGATACGGAGAAGACAGGTGATGCTCTGTCAAATGAATCTGAGAGTGACAAAATGGAGGAATCTATAATCGATTCGGAGGATGAAGAAAACAAAGAAAATGTTCCTCTTTCACAAATAATAGCTTCAGCCAAGAGATCATCAGATGTGTTCAAACTTAACAGATCAACAGATGGACAGGCGAGGTCTCCTCTAGCTCCCATCCTCATTTCTCCAGCAGTCACGGACTCTCCTGCTAAGAAGAAGGCAAGAAGAAGTGTGTCTCAAAGTCCCTGGTTGAAACAACCCCACGAGAAAAAGGTGGAAAATACTGTGAGAGAAGAGGAGGTTTTTATATCCCCTGATAGGTTCCGACCTCTGATGGGAACAAAATCAAAGGACAATGCCAATTTGCTCAAAAGTAGAAGTAACTTGAATTCTACGATTTTATCGGCTTTCTCTGACAGTCCTCAGCCCGGTGATTCACCTCTTGGAAGGAAAGGGACATCAGAATTGGAAAGGAAGAGGATTGGCTCTAAGCTTCAGCAAACATTAATGGAGGAATCCCCTAATCAAAGTGGTGCTTTTTCTAGACTTCAGGAAAGTTTTGTGCCAAATTCTTTACAGAATACACCTGATGTTAGCTCGTCTGCCAAGGACATATCTGAACAGGACAATATAGCCATAGAAGAGACTGATGAAGAATCATCGCCTGCCAAATACATGTCTATTTCCAAGTCAGAGAGTGCTGTTGAAGACAGCATACTGAGTGATGAGGAGAAACACTTGAGTGACTCAGATGATTTTGAGCCTGCGAATAACCAATCAAAAATAGGAATAGAATCAGATGACGATTTGCCAACATTTTCTGTCAAGAAGAAATCTGTGAAAAAGGCTGTAATTGGGAGTGATTCTGAAAGTGACACTAGTGATGTGAACCCTGAGGAGGAGGCAGAGAGAAGTGTTAGCAGAGAGAACAGTAACAAAAGGAAGTCGCCCGAGTCTAACAGCCTGCCCCAGTCTAAGTACGTCATGCTGTCCAGCTCTGACAATGAACAGTCTGAGAACCAGGAGGAGCTGAGAAGTGAGGAGTCGGGGATCGATGAGGGCTCAGAGGAGGGAGAGGAGGAGTCTTTAGATAAAGGATCAGAGGAGGAGTCTATAGATGTAGATATTGATAGTGAAGATGAAGGTTTGTATGATGAATCCATCATGAAAAGATTTTTGAAACAGGATAATGTAAAAATAAAATTAATGATGATATGATATATATTTAACAAAATGCTTGTAATGATAGCAATTTTTTTTAATTTTTACATTCATTATTTTGTACATATATCAGACTGAACCCTAAGGAGTATCATATACAATGTATGTTTTTAAAACTTTCAGATTTCTTAGATCTGGCAGATGATCTGAAAGAAAACTATCTGGTGGCAGTAAAAAGAGCAAAGTAAGAGTTTTTTCCACATGTATATTTTTCTGTGATGAATTAAATAAATAGGGCATTGTGTATACATGTATTGTAAATATATAGGGCATAATGTATATTGTAATTTTTTTTGTTAAGATATTTTAGTATTATAGAACTACATGTACATACATAAACAAGCTTATCATTTTAAGAGTTATGATAAATATTAATTTTTCTTGAACAGGGAGCTCTACAAATCTAGAAACTATGAGGAATGCTTGGCCAGTGTTTTACAAGCTTTGGAAATCTACCCAGAGAATAGGGCTTTACAGGCTTTTGCACTCATTATTCACAGCAAGTTGGGATAGAATCCTCATGTTTACCACTGAGCAAGTCACTGTCATCTGTTTAGATTGATATAGATACTAAGGATCAGATGAATGACTTTAAACAAAATCGAACAATCTGTCTTATTTGTAATGGTTGCATTCTGACTCAAAACTTTTTTCATAAAATATGCATACCATCCTGCAAGTGCAAATCAATTTTAATGTTTGAATTCAGTTTTATCTTTACAATGTTTTCACTGGGAACAGCTGGCATGAATTTTGTGTTTGTTTATTTGGGAAATGGTAAATTTTTAAAGGTACAAAAAGATGTATAATGTTTTTGAACTGATTTATTTCTTATTATTGATTCAAGATATAGAAATATTGGTATAAAACCTGTTGTCAAGGAAAGAACTTTATTCGGTAATAACCAATATTTGCCCCCCAAATCAAACTTTGATGGAGATATAATCGAATTAAGTTCTGAAACAGGGGAGTACATGCTGACTTCAAAGCACTGAATATTTTCATAAGTAATGACGCCATAAGTAGGTAATGACTTCACAAACATGACGTAAATTTCAGTTTTTTATGAATTTTACAGAAAAATGTACATATTTCGTCGATATTTTGAGTAAAAATCACCGAGCGCATGTGTGTTCAGGATCAATATTTTGATATAATGTGTAGAATGATAATATCAATGAAATATGTCAATATTGTTCCTGAACAAACTTGCGCTCTATTAATTCTAAAGCTGAAATTGTTGAAATTTTGTCCTCTTTCTGAAAAAGTATATAAAATCGGACAAGTTTGTGACGTCATAAATACAAAAATTGTGAATACACTGCTTTAACACTATAATATTTTCTATCAATTTATATTTCTCATACAATTTATTGAATTCAGCACATTTCAGGAAGTTTTCAAAATTTGACTTTTGTGGGGGCAAATATATGCAATATACATACATGTACTGGTAGGTATATATTTTATTGCTGAAATCTTCAAATATAAGCATTAAGGTTTTTGTTTAATGATATTCGTTGTTTGATTTTAATGAGATATCAATTGAAAGTTGTAAGTTGTACTGAATTACCAACACTGCTCGGATTATTTCTTTACTTTTAAAACATTAAAACAAAATAGGCATGATAAATGTGTTAAGAATTTTATTTCAAACAAAGCTGACTATTCTGAGTTAAGGTAGATCTTCATCGAGCAATTTTTCTTAGTGAAAGCTTCATGATGGCATTGCAGACTGGTACAATATTCTGATGCCTAAATTGTACCATTATACGAGGGTATTATAGGAACAAACCTATCAATAAAGAAGGTTGCTGTATCAAATCAATTACTGGATACTAATAAGTCTAATTTGAAGATTGAGATGAACATAATATACAATATTCAGGTGGCTTCATGTATGCTAATCCAAGAACTTGCTTATACATAGCTCTTTATGTGCCGAGTTATGATTTATATGATTGTTTAGTTGATTAGGATTGCAAACACTTTTTACACTATTTTACATATATGCTGACAGAATTGTAAAATGCAAGGTATTTTTACAGATTTTTAGCTCTTCTGAGCCAAAGGCTCAAAGAGCTAATGCTATGGCCATTTGTGCGGTGTGCGGTGTGCGTCGTGCGGTGTGCGTTAACTTTTTAGAATATGGGCCATAACTCAAGAACCCCTTGGCCAATCAGTGTCAAATTTGTCACAGGGTATCCTTGGCCCAAGGGCTACCATTTATACTAAAATAAGGGTTGGGACCCTAAAACAAAGGGAGATAATCAGGAAAACAAAACCAAAAGTACTGGTTGCAAAAAAATCTTCTTCTCCAGAACCACCAGACAGATTTTCACCAAACTTACATACAATGATCAGGATATATTGAAGATTAAAAATTGTTCAAGGCATGACCCTGGGGCAAAGGGCGTGGTCTCAAGGTCACTTCAAAGTTGACCTAAATTTACAATTAATGAAAATGTCTATATTTTGCTTACTATAAGGACTAGGATCATCAAATCTTGTAAGTAGATGCATCTTAGGACTTCACATCATGTTAACTCAAAAGTAGGTCACGGTGACCTACTTTTTTAATTTTTCGGGCATTTGTTTTCAAATTGATTTGAAGGCATATTTTGGACACTTTAAGGCCTATGATCATCAAACTTTGTCAGTTGATGCATCTTGGGTCCATGAACAACGTCAACTTAAAAGTAGGTCACCATGACATACTTTTTGAACTTTATGACTTATCCTTTTTAAAACATTTCATCCCATTATTTCAGACACTGAGAGGGTTAGAATCATCAAATCTTGTAAGTTGCTGCATCTTGGAACCTTAAAACATTTTAAAGTAAAAGTAGGTCACTGTGACCTACTTTTAGAATTTTGCAGGCATTTGTTTTCAAATTGTTTAAAAGGCATATTTTGATTACCTTCAGACCAATGATCATCAAACTTGGTCAGCTGATGCATCTTGGGACCCTGAAAAATGTCGACCAAAATGTAGGTCACTGTGACCTACTTTCGACATTTTATGGCTATATTTCAGTATCTTAGGTATTTATTGGCTTAGAATCATCAAACTTTGTGAGTTGATGCATCTTGGGTTTTCGGAGAGTGACGACCAAAAATTAGGTCACGGTGACCTACTTTCAATATTTTATGGCTATATTTATGTATCTCCAGTACTTATCACCTTAGAATCATCAAACTTTGTCAGTTGATGCATCTTGGGTTTTCGGAGAATGTCGACCAAAAAGTAGGTCACGATGACCTACTTTTGACATTTGATGGCTATATTTAAGTACAGTACGGTCAACGCGGATTAGGCATTAAACCGCGCTCCCCCCGCGGTGTTTTGATCCTTTCCGCGATACACCCCCGCGGTTATTTCATCGCGGTCCTACCTGTAGCCAGGTATGGACCGCGGCGGTGTGACTTACCGTTGACTGGCTTATCGGATTTATTTTACCTGTACGGCCGTATATATAATATCTATAACTGAATATTGTTCGGTCGATCGGTAAAATTGCAGGTTTTGAGTTAAAAAAAAATGGTGCTATTAGAAATATTATACAATGTAAGTACTACCCGAAGAATTAAAAAAAAACAAAAAAACAAACAAACAAAAAACACCCCCCTCCCAAAAAAAGAAACAAAACAAAAAACAAAAACAAATAGCGTATGATTGTTTTTTCAAGTTATTCTGATGTTTGATAAATGTTAGTTTTTAAAACATGTTTTTAAAAAATAAATAATATCTTCAGCATAAGCATAAACTTTATTTCTCTTAATTAATCAGTTAATGACTATATACCGTGTATCACTTTTACAATGAAACGCATACATGTTTCGATAAATATTCGATGGATGGAAGAGCTAGATATTCTGAAACATGTTTATAGGCAGTGTGCAGTAAATCTCTCTCTCTCTCTCTCTCTCTCTCTCTCTCACTCGTATTATTATTTGTTTTTTTTTAATCGGCAAAATTCATTTTAAAAACGGCAACGCATTTCGACTTGAAAGCATACAAGTAATTTCTTGTAAGTACGAACAATGTTCATGAGAAAAGCGTGTTAACTGAAAACACTGAGTAGTAGAAATATTTTATGCAGTTTCGAGTGTTACTTAATTAATTAACTCTCAATGTGCAAATAAAATAAGAGAAAGCTTAATATTTTCTTTCCGCATATTAATAGTATAAAGATGAAACGGGATGCTTTGTTGTGCATACGGCCTTGCATAATAAATTGATATATCGTCCTTTTGCTATACATGTATATGTAAAAGAATTAATATTATTTCTATCATTTACATGTACACCTCTATAGCCTACCCTGTCAACGTATGGGATTAACTACGCAATGAAATATATTAGCTTGTCGTAATTTTGTAGTAACATGTACACAGTATAAATAGAACAGCCCTCGGTGTGAACATTCCAATTTTTTGTATTTGTAGAAGACCATGCATATACAGGGAAAGTCATTTAAATTTATTAAGATCAGTCTTTTTTTGTGAATTTAAATGTAAAATTAATGTTCTTGAAACATACAACGTTATGCTTAAAAAAAAAAGTGAAGTTCATGCAGACGGCAGTAGGAGAATCTTTGGGGCGGGGGGGGGGGGGGGGGGGTAAAAAATTATAAACCACCCGGTTTATGATTTTATATTTTAAAACTGTCAAAATGTTGCGTAAATCCAAATCCTTTGTCTTTCACAAAGGTGTGAAATTATACCCAGTACAGTGTCACTGTGAGACAGGAAATCCCTCTCTGCTTGAACGCGCACAATACACAGGAATCCACCAGTTACTAAGGAGACTACGATTAGTCCGTGCAGCTTCATGTACACTGTGTATACATGTACTAGATCTAACAAGGACAAAAAATTACTTACCAGTGCAAAATGCACATAAGATGTTGTTCCGATATTGTTTGTGGTGTTTATGAATTTCTTTTTCAGTAAATTTTTGTTAACGCGCTGTAAATATTCCGAATAGAATTTTGCAGTAATAAGCTTTTTTTTTTTTTCTTTTTTCACTGTTTTGGTTAAATTTTCATACATGAATACAATTTATCTAAATCAACTTAGCTTCTATCTACTTATATTGGGAAAATAACCCCCATCCAAAGTTATGATTGTGCTGAGTTTTGTGTAAGACACATTAATAGAGTCCAAGTAAATAAGGGGGAAGGGGGGATGAATGTTACATCAAAATTGACTTTTTACACGAAAGTAATCATGGTAATCTGCATATCGGAAATTTAAATAATTAATTCAAATTTGTATTAAATTATATGATCAATGTAAATGTCATTGTGAAGTATGTTAAACATGTACGACAGTTGAAATTTACTGACCCGCTTTCGGGCACGCACGTGTACACCAGGGGTAGGGCTGGTGCAGGGGATCGCACCTTGTCCAGTGTACAGCTGTGAGGACCAGGTATGCGTACCAGGTCTAGCTCTAGACATTATGTAATTTTATTTTATCTTCTACGGATTGGTAGGCCATCGAATCACACACACATACACACCCTACTGATTTCAAGAACAATGCCCCAGAATAAAGGAATGACACTTTACAGACGACTCGGAGAATGCTGATTACATAAAAATCTTCTGCGTATTATAATCCTATATTTGAAGATTAATAATTTTAAAATACTTTCATTTATAGTCCCACTGAAAGTGACACTGCGATAGATCGTTTCTTTAATCAATCCACTATTAAAATAAAAAAAAAACACGCAACGAAAATATTAATTAATATTGAATATCATGAATAGCACACTGGGTGTTTTATCTTGCATTGTCGTATAAATATATCACATACAGTAATTTATATCGAAAGTCCTGGATCTAAATAGAATGAACGCATTTAAAAAATGTAATTCAAGAATTAGTAAACGCTATTTGAAAATTGCTTTGACGATTGTTATAATTATTTAGATACATGAGAGTATATTTTTTTTTAGAAAAATTAATTTTCATTTTGTACTTCAAATATTTCAACGACTATGAATTTTAAAATATCATTAATTTCGTTTTATTTTGTTTTGCTTGATATTTTCAAAGGGAGGTAACTCGCGTTTTAAATCAAGACTGTTTTTTCACCTGTAATCGGTAAGATGCACCGCGACGGTGTGATCTACCTGGATTACTGAACCGCGGGGGCACGCGGTTTTTACCTGAGACACCTGTACTAACCGCGATGAAATTCGCACCTCGGGGGTGCGCGGTAAATGCATAAACCGCGTTGACTGTACTGTATCTCCTGTACTTATTGGCTTAGAATCATCAAACTTTGTCAGTTGATGCATCTTGGGTTTTTGGAGAACGTCGACCAAAAAGTAGGTCACGGTGACCTACTTTTGACATTTAATGGCTATATTTACGTATTTCTGGTACTTATTGGTTTAGAATCATCAAACTTTGTTAGTTTATGCCTCTTGGGTTTTCTGAGAATGTCGACCAAAAAGTAGGTCACAGTGACCTACTTTTGAATATCTCAGGTATTTATTGGCTTAGAATTATCAAACTTGGTCAGCAGATGCATCTTAGGCCTCTGATAAATGTCAACCAAAATGTAGGTCACATTGACCTACTTTTGACATTTAATGGCTATATTTCAGTATCTCCAGTTCTTATCGGCTTAGAATCATCAAACTTTGTCAGTTGATGCATCTTGGGTTTTCGGAGAATGTCGACCAAAAAGTAGGTCACGATGACCTACTTTTGACATTTTTATGGCTATATTTAAGTATCTCCGGTATTTATTGGCTTAGAATCATTAAACTTCGTTAACTTATGCCTCTTGGGTTTTCAGCGAATGTCGACCAAAAAGTAGGTCACAGTGACATACTTTCGAATATCTCAGGTATTTATTGGCTTAGAATCATCAAACTTTGTCAGTTGATGCATCTTGGATTTTCAAAGAATGTAGACCAAAAAGTAGGTCAAAGTGACCTACTTTTGAATATCTCAAATACATATTGGCTTAGAATCTTCAATCTTAGTTTGTCTATTAATGCATCTTGAGTCCTCAGAAAACTTCAATCTTAAAGTAGGTCACTGTGACCTACTCATGGTTTTTTTTAATAGCTTTATTTAAATATCTTCAGTCCTAATAGTCTAAGAATCATCAAACTTTTTATCAGTTGATGCAACTTGGGTTTTAGGATACTTAAGGTTAGAGGCTTCAAATACAAGTGATAAGTTGTACAATTTATCAGAAGAGCGATTCAAGGCCCTTGGGCCTCTTGTTTAGATTACTTTGTTCCAAATACAGTTGAACTTTCTTATCTTGAACACTAATATTTCTCAAATACTAGTACAGTTATAATGAAGTCACTGGGACCTTTGAAATTAACTTTGCTATATCCCTAATTTGCTATAATCATATAAGAATTTTGTTAATTTTTTGTAGCTCGGGATCCAAGATAACTTCACTATGTCAGTGAATTGGCAATATCCATGTTCATACTAAACAAGTTTTGCTGTACTGTGAATTTTCAGTGATCTGGAAGTCCCCATTCCTAGGTCTCATACTGTAGAATCCTTATTGAACGCAAGTACTTCTAATTGTGAACCACCTCGTACATCTAATTGCAAAAACAAAGATTTACAATTTGACTTGATTAAAAATTTAAAGAAATATGTAAATAGGTATGTTTATGTCAAAAATAGTGTTTTTAGCTCACCTGAGCCGAAGGCTCAAGTGAGCTTTTCTGATCACATTTTGTCCGGCGTCCGTCTGTCTGTCTGTCTGTCTGTCTGTCCGTCTGTCTGTAAACTTTTCACATTTTCGACTTCTTCTCAAGAACCGCTGGGCCAATTTCAACCAAACTTGCCACAAAGTATCCTTGGGTGAAGGGGATTCAAATTTGTTCAAATGAAGGGCCACGCCCTTATTTAAGGGGAGATAATTGGGAATTAATGAAAATTTAGTGGTATATTTTAAAAATCTTCTTCTCAAGAACCACTGGGCCAGGAAAGATGAAACTTATGGGGAAACATCCTCAGGTAGTGTAGATTCAAGTTTGTTCAAATCATGACCCCCGGGGGTAGGGCGGGGCCAAAATGGCCGACCAAAGTTTTACATAGAAATATATAGGAAAATTCTTTTAAAATCTTCTTCTCAAGAATGACAAAGCCATGATTCATCATATATATATGGAAGCATGCTCAGGTAGTGTAGATTCAAGTTTGTTCAAATCATGACCCCCGGGGGTAGGGCGGGGCCAAAATGGCCGACCAAAGTTTTACATAGAAATATATAGGAAAATTCTTTAAAGATCTTCTTCTCAAGAATGACAGAGCCATAATTCATCATATTTAAATGAAACCATGCTCAGGTAGTGTAGATTCAAGTTTGTTCAAATCATGACCCCCGGGGGTAGGGCGGGGCCAAAATGGCCGACCAATGTTTTACATAGAAATATGTAGGAAAATTCTTTAAAAATCTTCTTCTCAAGAACCACAAAGCCATAATTCATCATATATATATGTGGAAGCATGCTCAGGTAGTATAGATTCAAGTTTGTTCAAATCATGACCCCTGGGGGTAGGGCGGGGCCAAAATGGCCGACCAAGGTTTTACATAGAGATATATAGGAAAATTCTTTAAAAATCTTCTTCTCAAGAATGACAAAGCCATTATTCATCATATTGATATGGAAGCATGTTCAGGTAGTGTAGATTCAATTTTGTTCAAATCATGACCCCCGGGGGTAGGGCGGGGCCAAAATGGCCGACCAAAGTTTTACATAGAAATATATAGGAAAATTCTTTAAAAATCTTCTTCTCAATCATTTTCTAAAAAATAGAAAATCCATGATTGGTCATGGGACTACTTTTGGATTTAAACTTTACAATAAAAAGCCATTTTATACTAGTCCTACCCTTGGTGCTCAGGTGAGCGATGTGGCCCATGGGCCTCTTGTTTATGCAATAATAATTCCTCGTTTATTGAGGAACTTTGGCATTAAACAATTTTTTTAAAGTTGTAAAACAACAACAGTGCAAAACACAATTATATTGTAACATCTATATTTCGGTCTCATTACCAAAATTTTAAATCTGATAGACTCATGGGTTTTTGTTCACTAATAAAACAACTTTAAATCCTTTTTTTTTTTTTATTTATTATTCCCTCATATTCTTTGCATATATTCAAAGTAAAATGAAACAAAAGCTGGTGAATACATGTACCTAAACATGTATAATATAATAGGTTGCATTGAATATTACATAATGAAAAGATTAAATAATGTCTAACAGTCTAGGACAATCCTTACATTTAATCAAACATTTAGTTCATTTTTAACTACATGTACATCAATAAATGAAACTTGGCCTCCTAATACATGAAATAATAAGGTACTCAGTACCAATGCCAATCACAGATAAGTCAGCTCAAAAGTATGTGTTTTTGAATATTTAAAATGTCTAAATATTGCAAATACAGCAATGCATCAACTCTGAAGCTGGTGTAGCATGTTGAAAGATGTGAGATCAGTTGGAAATAAACTATATAGCACATCAAGATGGGAATGTACAAGATATATTATGACATTTAAAAATGATGTTGCATCCTGTAATCGCTACCAAGAGATTAAGATGAGGTTCTCAAGTCTCCCAGGTATTGCTCTAAATGTTTCTATTGCGGATTTTATTATTTATTACAGTTTCTACTGCAGTAGTATTTTATTGTTTATAACGGCCTTTAGTACGAGTGGTTGGCTACAAACAGAGACTCTCCTGAAGCTTTTCCTGATTCTCCTCCTTGGTATTTTCCCATGGCAGCAAGTCCATTGGCCTACATAAAGAAGATTTTAAAATACTTCATGACATGTTATGAACAGCTTTAATTTTTTTTGGAGGGGGGGGGGGGGTTAAGGACTATGCAAAAGTTCGCCGATTACATATCCAGGGTTAGAGAAGATTTTCAAATGTATTTCAATCTTAAAATGGATTTTACAATTTTGGTAAAGGGCACAATAATCTGCAATCATGCAAACTATTTGCCTGATTGATGTATAGTAGAGAAGAAAATTGTTGAAGACTTCATACCCTAGCTCTGGTCAGAAGTTGCTGCTGTGCAGCCTTCACGTTCTCATCCTTGCCCTGCCAGGCCTTCAGTACCGAGGCCTGTAAAGCTCGCCCGAATGAGAAGGTAAGAGCCCAGGGCTTGGGGCCTTGACAGAGATTTATGGCATTCAGATTGATGGTAGAATCTTCCTCAGACTGGCCTCCTGACAAAAAGGTGATCCCTGGAAAAAGGAAATTGTAAACCACAGGTAAGATAGATAAGAAAAAGTTCTAAAAAAAATGTATGAATTAAGAAGTAATCATATTCTTGTTTACTTAAGATTAGATTATGTTCATTACCAATGTGCTTAAAAAACCAAGAGAGTACAAACCCGGTACAGCTGCAGGTACCCCCCTACTGAGGGCTATGACTGTGGCTCTGCCGTTCTGTTCAGGTGTGTATTTCTTGGTACAGGACTGACCCGCAGTGACCATGTTTGGTTTCAGTAACGTTCCCTCCAGAAAGACGTGGTGGTCAGCCAGGGCTTTGTAGGTGAAGGCAAGAACCTGGAAAATAACAGGTAAAGAGTTTCCTATGTTAATTAAATGCCTGTATAACAAGTGTAATTTGTGGATTCCTTTGTAAAGAGTTATATGAAATATGTGTTTTTACCTGTTCAGTTACTTTTTGTGCTGTTTCTAAATCATGGTCTCCATCACAAAGGACCTCTGGTTCAACTATTGGAACAAGGCCATTCTTGAAAAAAAATTATAAGTGAAAAAGGAGTAATTTATTTTAACATAAAGTGAAACCAGTCTGACATGCACAATAACTTCGTAAATATTCTGTTCTCTTTCCATTCCCATTTAACATTTTTCAATGTTCTTTACACTATTTATATCTTATATCTTATATCCTATATAATCTGACTGAAAAATATTGTCCCCAAGTGCATGTTGAATCAGACAGGTTTCAGTGTACATGCCTTACCAAAAAACAGTCTAAGAAAGCATACTCATTTGCCAATAGATTTTCTCATATTGTTTAAAGATTAAAAAAAATACAAAATATCTTTTTACTCAAAAGAAAAAGCATATGTATACTATTCACTACAAACCTGTTGACATATGCTGGCATACCGAGCCAGGACATTAGCATTCTCAAACATGGCCTGATAGGTAGGGGTGTGAGAACCGATCTTGAGAACACATCTCCATTTGGCAAATTCTGCTCCATCTTTCTTATACTGTGCACAGCGTTCAGATAAACTATCCAAACCTGGAATAAAAGTCATGGAATCTAAAGCAATGTTCATTAATTACTTTCAAGCTAAGAAAGAGCAAGGGTTTTTTTGTTTTTGAATAACTTCTTTTGTAATAATTCAAAACATTTTTATACCCCCCGCTTGAAAAGTGGGAGGGTATATAGTAATCGGTATTTCCATCCGTCCGTACATCCGTTACGCTTTGGGGTACCCATCTCTTATCCGCAACTCCTCTCATACCACTGAAGGAAATTTAATGAAACTTTCACAGATTCTTATTTCCATATTGTCATTGTGCATCTTGATCCGACATATATTTTTGATTTTCCAGAGCAAAACATGGACACTGCCATTATATTCATATGGGAAGGCGGGGGGTATCATTTAGTGAGCTCATTGCTCACAGTACCTCTAGTTTAGTATAATATTTCATGTAGTATTTTTCTTTTTCTGCAGATTAATATTAGTAAATTTCCATTTTTAGAGAATAAGTGTACCTTGTGTTGTACTCTCTCCATCTGTTCCGGCAAGGGGAACAACTCCTTTGTCGACCTTGATGCCAGGAATCATGCCTTTGTCCTTCAGAATCTTGACAAATGGTGTGCCATCCTTTGCTTTCTGGTAGAATGTCTCATGGAACAGAATGACACCACTGATATTCTGGGCGACCACAGGGTCCGCTGTAAACAACAGTTCCCTGTATCGCCGTCTGTTCTCCTCCGTATTCTCTACCCCAATGGAGGCAAACCTCTTACCCATTGTACCTACAACATAATTATTACTTCTAGAAAAGTGGTTTTAGATCAGTGCTGCAATACATGTATGATTGAGGGTCCTTGTCCCTAAAGGGGATTTTCAGTATGATACTGCTACTCAAGTTTCTTGTCTGCCTGCTTTTGAAAATCAAAGACAGTTATTGTTTCCTGTCTTCATCTCTCAGTAACAATAACACATACCGTCCATTGAAAGTTGAAAATCTCTAAAACACAGTGACAATGCTTAAAATATTAAGAGGATTCCTCAACATGCTCAATATTACAATCTTTGAATTGTACATTAGTTATGAGTAACAGTGCATTTATTTATTCCTTTCAATGTAGCAGTGTAGTGGTAAATGAATTCATCAGACTTTGTTTCTTACCAGTGGATTCATCAGCTGCCAGTATTCCCTTCCCTGGTGCCACGATGGCATTGGCAATCCTCCTGAGCTCATTCTCTTGATCAGCAGTCAGGTATTGTGGAAATGAAGGCATGATTGAATGTTACAGTACAAAGTCCAGATCTGAAACAACGTAAAAAACAAAACTGGAAATGTCATATTTTAATGGTAATATACACAAATATCCAGGTAGTACAGAAAATTTGCTGTATAACTAAATGTTAATTGCCACAAACAAGTTTAAAAAATGCAGTCTGTCCTATTTGCAGGAAGAGATCAGCTGGTGTGAGATAAATGAAGTTCAAGGGAAGACCCCCAGAATATAGGTCACAATAAAGATTTGCAGACAAGCTGATAACAGCTAGGACAAACACTATACGTCTACCGGGGTACTTTTTGGATTACTGTCCCAGTATGTATTATAAATATTAGGGTAACTGCAAGATTATACTGGTATTCATACATAATTACAAGTGAAAGTGATAACAATTAATAAAAAAAATCAACTTAAAAAGTCCTCATTAAAAATATGGGATCAATACTGATCAAACTTAATTACATGTTAAACATGCAAGTTATTGGCCACAAGTCCCTAACAAGATTACAATTCTTCTTTTTCTTTTTACCTATTTCATTTTGATTTTTAATGAACATGTTTAATGTCTTCTTGCCATCAAATTAACTGATGTTCAATATACCTTTCATATCAGGCTTACCAGGTATTTCTATCAATAAATATGACAATGATCAAGTAACAGCCTACTCAGATGATGGGTCATGACTCCTGAGCATTGATAAAATGGGTCAATACAGATTCATTGTATGCCTGTGACTGTCAGTGTAGTGTTAAATAGATATTATGTATAAATATGCAAATAACAAATAATACAGGGCCTTGTTCATCTCTCTCCCATGACTTTATAACTGGCATACCCTACGAGCATATGAAAGACCAAAACCAGACTGAGACAAAGGATATCTATATCACACTACATGTACTAGTACATGTTTGAATGGCTACATATAGTACACTGTATCTGATTTTATATTACCTATAAATTCTTTGAATAGTTTGGAAAACTTAAAGTTACCCCCCCCCCTTCTTATTAATTCTTCTTGATATAGTCTTTTCTTTCACCTCTTTCACCCCTCAAGTTTTTTTTATATACTCAAATAACATTACATTTAGTTCTGCAAAAATACCCAAGTCCTCTGATTTAGTTAATCTTTGAATATATCCCTGTGTGATATGGGATGAAATTCTTTCCCTCTCGATCATTTTGCAAACCCCACCCACCCATTCTCATCCCCCCTTCAACCCTTTCACCTATTCTCATGCCATTTAATCCTTTTTCCTCTAGTGTATTCAGATACAGAGTATCTTGTGCTTTGGTGAGAGGATGTAGAGATTACAAGTTTATACATGGATATGATGATATGCAAGTAAATGACTAAATGTACTATTAAGTGTTGATGATACATAGTGATTTGTGAATCACTTCTTCCTGGACTATGATCTTATTCTGTTATTTGACGTGCATTGCGTTGAATAAATGTTAAATGTATTCCATTCCACACTGTTTTCACTGTATTCTGCAAATGATACTTTGTCTCTGGACGTTGTATTATATGATGCGTAGTACATGTATATGTACTGCGTAATATCTCATTATTGGTGCTAAAGTACGTTAGCTAGCATGGTTATTCATTAACACAAGCCTGAGAAGGTCAACGTCCGCACGACCAGTGGTAGAAGCATTTTTTAAACAACTGAAAAAAAAAAACGGTTACTGAGACCCACTATATGTAGTTATTTAATTATCATGTTTATGTAACACGTATATACTGCAGAAATGAGAAAAGAAACTTCTGAGATTAAACATATAACAACAAATCATAACATTTTTCGTGATAAAAAAAATGCATTATACACTATATATTATTCCTTATTTAAAAGAAATATTACCTTTACAAAGTTTCTCCTAACTTTCCGCAGAGCCGCCTCGATGAAAATGGGTTGTTTACCACGCTGTAAGAAATGGGTGTGTGGATTTGGCGCCCTCTGATTGGCTGATTGCGAACTGTCCTTGACAGGGGAAAAAAATATTTATAAATACTAAACAGACAACAAATTTCTGACGCAATGAATAACTTTAGTACAGTTTAAAGAAAAGGGGAAGGGGGGGGGGCTTTAAAGGTACTTGGACACAGATTTGAAGTTATTATTTTCTCTATAATATTACGACTTATATATTTTAATAGCATTTCACACAAAAATTAATTTAAAATCTTATTTCGTTTAAAAGATATTGACATTTCAATTTTTTCGGCGGGTTTGATTGACATATCGTTGCACTCTCACAAATTTAATTTTATTCTTAATACTTAGGAAAAATGGCAATCTCGTTTTGTATAAATGAAAAATATTAATACTATAATCCAGAAAATTCCGAGTAGACACGTTCGAAAGCAAAACAAACACACAATATATTGTCAGTCCGTGCAGTTGTGGTAAGCAGACTGTGACGATTGAACGCACCCGGTGAATTCTAAATATAAACAATAACAGAACTCGAGCCCTGTTTACAAAAACTGTGTACATAACACGAGTGTGCTCGATTTGCTAAACTCTGCACGCATCTCTTAATTCGGAATGACGATACTTGTGAAGGTGTTTTGCTTTCTAACATTTCTACTCTGAATAAAATTATTTTTCTTGATAAAAGTTTTAATATTTCTCATCAAATCACATCAAGATTGCCACTTGTCCAGAGGATTAAGAATAAAATTAAAATTTGTGAAAGTGCAAGAATGTGACAATCAAACCCGCCAAAAAATTTAAAGTTTTAATAACTTTTAAGGAAGGTCCATACTTTTACGGATCCGGTTTTAATTTTACACACCAATGTAAAATTCTGATTATCACTTATCAATTGAAAAAATCTATTTGGATGATTGAAAATAATGTAGCAAGTATGTATTTGTTTATTATAATGTCATTTTGTGTGAAATGCTATTAAAATATATAATTCGTGATGTTATACAGAAAAAATGAGAAAATATTAACTTCAAAACTGTGTCCAAGTACCTTTAAATATTATCTGCATCAGCGGTATAGTTTGGAGCACGTAATGAAGGTTTTTAAAACCAAATATAACGAATGGAACAGGAAAAAGTTAACGTTTTTGGAGTAGCTAGCTAGGTCTTATTTCCGAGCTTACAGGGCCCATTTTAATTTTAGTCCCTAAGACATCTCACTTAGATTAGGCCCAACATTATTTATTGTCCCTCGCTTTTTTCGAAAACGATTGGACATTAATTAAATCTCATTATTCTGTAGTCTGTCTGTCACAATAAAAATAAACATTGACCTCGGAATCAGTTTGAATCAGGAGATATATAAGGTTTTCCTATTTCATGTACATTTGACAAGATCTTTCCAAATGTGATATGACTTTTCATCCTGTGACATTGACCTTGGAGTTTGACCTATTGACCTACTTTTCAAAAAAATATCATTGATTATAGAATATGATGTTTTATCAAATCAATATATCCAATTGGGCATAATTATATAACTTTCGTAGACTGGTATTCCAATTAGACACTTGTGTATTATCTCTGATAAGACGTTTCCAAATACATGTTGGCATATTTTGTATTTTGCCTAATAACCTTGACATTTATATTTAATCTAATTTTCAATATATTTTTTTTCTGCTAACTTTAGAAGGAGACAAAATTCTTCATTGTAATTGACTTTTGTCATACCCATGACATGGCCTTTCCAATTACAAGAGGCCCACGGGCCTTATAGGTCACCTGAGTATTGTGTAACAACTTTCAAACAATTGAGTTTGGTTCGTGTTTTAAACCAGAGGCCATGAAATTCACAATTTTGAAAGAGGCACCATTGCGTATCATAATTATAAACTTAGCATGGTTACTCTGTTTACTTAATATCCATAGGTAGATCAGAGTACAAAGAGAAAATGCACTTCCACTTTATACCCAGTTGTGCACCTCACCCCAAAGGAACCACTGACCCAGGGGCCACATATTTCAAAATTTTATCATAAAATGGTTGATTAATACAATAGAGCTGATTTCAAAGCATTAATTTTTTTTCAGACTATATACCCCCCCCCCCGACCCAGAGGGCATAAAAAACCACTTTGCTAGATGCACTTTTCCTCATCATAAATATATATACTTGGATCATTGGTATAAAACCCAGAAGCAAAAGTAAATATTTTCAAAGAATGAATGTATTTTTACTATATGATCAATAGAGCCCCGCCCTAACACCAGAACCCTGGGGCCATAAAATTCACAATTTTGGAAGAGGCACTCTTGCTCATCATAACTATGTGCTTATAGTTAGTTTATTTAATACCCAGGAGCAGAGAAGAAGATTTTCAAAGAATTAATGCATTTTCACTATATAATCAATAGAGCCCCGCCCTAACACCAGAACCCCTGACCCTGGGGCCATAAAATTAACAATTTTGGAAGAGGCACTCTTGCTCATCATAACTATGTGCTTAGTTAGTTTATTTAATACCCAGAAGCAGAGAAGAAGATTTTCAAAAGAATTAATGCATTTTCACTATATTATCAATAGAGCCCCGCCCTAACACCAGAACCCCTGACCCTGGGGCCATAAAATTCACAATTTTGGAAGAGGATTCTTGCTCATCATAATTATGTGCTTAGTTAGTTTATTTAATACCCAGAAGCAGAGGAGAGGATTTTCAAAGAATAAATGCATTTTCACTATATAATCAATAGAGCCCCGCCCTAACACCAGAACCCCTGACCCTGGGGCCATAAAATTCACAAATGTGGAAGAGGCACTCTTGCTCATCATAACTATGTACTTCATTAGTTTATTTAATACCCAGGAGCAGAGAAGAAGATTTTTAAAGAATAAATGCATTTTCACTATATAATCAATAGAGCCCCGCCCTAACACCAGAACCCCTGACCCTGGGGCCCTAAATTTCACAAATCTGGAAGAGGCACTCTTGCTCACCATAACTATGTACTTAGTTAGTTTATTTAATACCCAGGAGCAGAGAAGAAGATTTTCAAAGAAATCATGCATTTTCACTATATAATCTATATAGCCCCGCCCTAGCACTAGAACCCCTGACCCTGGGGCCATGAATTTCATAATTTAAGTAGAGGACTCAATGCTCATTACATTCATGCCAACAGTTTGCCTGCTTGATGTCCAGGGGTAAAGAAGATTTTTAAAGATTGCAATAATTTTAGTGGTTTTGGCCCCACCCCTCAGGCCCCAGGGGGGCGGGGACCATGAAATTCACAATTTTTGTTCCCCTTTACCCATAGATGCTGTATACTAAATTTGGTTGAAATTGGTTCAGTGGTTTCAGAGAAGAAGCTGAAAATGTTCAAATGTTAACACACGACGCACGACGACGGACGAAAACGGATAGCAATAGGTCACCTGAGTTACTCAGGTGACCTAAAAATATGTACGATGATTTTTGAAATAAAAAATTCTTTACTGATAACTTTTGAATGAGCAAAGATAAGGTATAAATACCCTGCTTCAAATAAATCATTCTAGCTACTATACTTTGCTGTAGAAACGAACTAGTACAAAATATTTGGAGTAAGGCCATGCATTCCAAGTTTTTTTTTTTCAGTTTAGCGTTTATCCATTTTTTGTTTAAAACACAAGGCTAAAAATAAAACACAGATTTCAAATCTTAAAAAAAAGTCACGTCCAAAGTTAAAAAAAAAAGTTGAAATGGGCAGGAAAATCAATTCAACACATTTTGATCGTAACAAGCAGTTGAAATTAGAACGAAGTTTTCGGAATCACTTTGTATAGCACTGGTCGAAGATTCGGAAAAGGCTCGAACGGTCTGTACAATTTTTTTTTAGTTTCGACGAATTTATCTCACCGAGATTAATTTGAGCAATACAGGGATGTAGAGTCGTTTATAAAAGGGGGCAACCAGAAAGAAAATATTTAGACTTAGCTGGAAAAAATGACTCTAGGCAAAACAAGGACATGCAAATTCAAAGAATTGGTGTTTGTGACAGACTGACAGACAGACAGAAGAATGAGAATGTGAAAGCGGCGGACAAAAATTATCGAAAATCCTACTTCATGGGGATAGGTAGATTTAACCTTAGTTCAGAGCCAAATTTTATTTATAAATTACTATATTACACATTATACCCTTATTTGACTCTAGATAATGCAACAAAAAGTTGCGGACCAACTGAATATTTTAATTAATTTTGTTCCCCACTTTCGCAAAAGCGAGGGACATTAAATTTCATTCGTCTGTCAGTCTGTAGTTCTATTCGTCCGTCACAAAAACTTTAACCTTTAATTGTGGGCGATATGTCATTTCTTACAGCATATTGTGTAAATATAAACGCACCATCAAATATCATTAAGAAGTTATCACCGGAAAGTTATGGTCAATTCAAAGTAATATTTAATTTTTTTAAAGTAGGTCAAACTTCAGGGTCAGGAGGTCAAAAATCATATTTTATTTAGAAAGGCCTTGTCATAGGTAATACACGTGTGTAAAACAAAAGTCCTATCTCTTCTCATTTAAAAGTTAAATCATAAATATCATTTGTGAAAAAATGTCCAACAAGCCCCTGGGTTAAATATCAAATGGGGTGTGATTACTCTCCACAAGGACCCGTGTGTCGTATTATCAAAAACTGTACTTCAATTTGAAAAAAGAGACTGGACAAATATTGGATAATTCATTCTCTCAAATATTATTTTACCCAGGAGTATGGACCGTACACCGAAAAAAGACTAGTAGTACAAGATGTGTTTGTGCAACACTGATGCGGTTTAAACTTTCTCAAACACAAATCAATTATATTGGTATGCAAAGTAAGGCCTTCTCACAAGAAATACAATTTTAAAATATGAAAGCACTACCCCAAACCGTTCAAAAGTTATGACCTAGGTAAAAGTAGGTCAAACTCCTAGGTCAAAAGGTCAGTTCTTTTTTATATCCAATGAAAGATCTTGTCACAGGGATTACATAAATATGAAGTATGAAAGCCCTATAGTCTCTACCGTTTAAAATTTATGGCCAAGGTTAAAGTTTTTTTTAAAAATAGGTCAATCTCTAAAAGTGTGTCAAACTCTAACGTCAAGGTCAAAAGGTCAAATTTGGTGCTACCCAAAAAAAGGTCTTGTCACAGTCAATACAACTGTGAAATATGAAAGCCTTAGGCCTAAAGTCAAAAGTTCTGTGCAAGGTTAAAGGTTTTGTGGCCAAACAGACAGACAGACGGACAGGACAAAAACTATCTACCCTCGAATAATCGATAATGGGGTATAAAAATACCAAGATGAAGAAGAGCTAGTCTGCTTAAAGAAGACCAAGGGGTGCTTCGGGCAGAATCAACAAAGTTAGGTAAGGTGTGTGTGGTGGTGGACGGGGGGGGGGGGGGGTTAAGTGTGGCTGAGAGCTGCTACATTCTAATACTGTTGGGAGTCTCAACTATTATGAAGTGGTAAGGGGAAATTGAGAAGGAAAATATATTAGGCCCCCTATTGCAAAAGGCCTCTGACGTCTGCTGCAACAAATGGAAAAGTTTCAGTTGTAAATGTCTATTTTGATTGGGATCGGAATGCATTAAAATATTTTAGACTGAAAATGTCAAAGTGACAACAGACAACACCTCACCGCATCCTTACCAAAACAATGGGCATAATAGATGGTGTAGATGTTGGCATTCTTGTAGGGATTGGCGTTGACTTCATATGTTCATATGGTCTTTATCGTTTGTACAAACGAGCATTGCGGAATGCGGTAAACATAGAGGTAAACCATGTGAAAGAGAAAGTAGGATATGTGGTGGAAACGTATTTTTTCCCCATGCACGATTGCAGTCTATCTACGTTGTAAATTAGATAATATATCCAATCAAATAACATGACAAATTACCATAATTAACGAAGCTTTTTATATATCCAATGGATTTTAATCAGTTAACTAGTGAACCATATTCTGGTAAAAAAAATTTCCTGACCAGTTATCACTGGCACCTGAATTTTTATAAATCAAATTCTGCCCCCTTTATATATAAATATTTATATATACAGGGGTTATTTTTTTTTTTAGATATTTGGCATATGGGGCGACTGATTGGTACAATTCCTTGATTTAGCTATAAAGCTAATCTCTGCCCAGATTCTGCTTGGCTGGATATTTGGAGTCCAAATATTTAGCCCAGCAGAATCTCCACAGAGATTAGCTATAAAGCTTGAAGTTGCTATGTAGCCTTTTTCAAGCAGTACCCACTGTTTATGTTTGTAGAATGTTGAGCAGTATCAAATCAGCCAAGACCTGCATAAAAAGCTTGAATATATGCCCTTCAGAACCATACCATATGGATGTGTAGAAGGAGTGGTCAGCCCTGTTGGAACCACACTGAAGAGTCATTTCAAGGAGAACACGGAGGGAGTCATGCAACACCACTCTCTGATTGAACATAAATCAAGGAGGGTCCAAGGCATTTGGTACAATTTTTTTTTTATTTCACCAACTGATGGGTCACCTGAAACATTAAATTGTAAAAAATTCTGACTTGCTCTTCAAATTGGTTTATGTAATTAAAAAGACTATTATGATTTTTTTTAAAGGTCTGATGTGAAAAATGCCATTAGAGATACACTGGAAGTGATTCCATTCTACCTCATTCCACATGGAAACTCGTGGTATCCTACAAAAGTCATGGTTACCGAACCAAACTCTGCCCACCACATTGACAAAGAGTTGACTATCACTCATGAAAACTTTACTCAGTCTCAGTCGAGTGTATTTAAAAAAGGAATGGAACTTGTCAGTGGGGAGGTGACCAAGGGTTACCAAGAATCAGAGAAAATGTTAATAGTCGGCACACACCTTCTGGCTATTGGTAAACTTGTAAAAGAGGGAAGTGAAATTAAGATGAAGCCACCATCTGATGAATATAAGTACATCATCTCCAGAAAAACCAAGGATGAGTTAGCTAGACTGCTCAGAAACAAGGCCACATTGTTAAAGGTCTTTTTAGGGATATTTGGAGCAGTTGGAGTTGCTCTTATTTGTTACTTTGTCCGTAGATTTTACAGAAAACTTAGAAATCAAGAGGAGGAGGAAAGATTTAGGAGAGATCTTAGGAAGAAACGAGAGCTAGAGGAACAAAGGCGTGCTAGAGCTGCACACAGATCAAATCCAGGCAGTCTGTCCTCCAGTGAATTGTCTGATAGCAATAAATGTGTTATCTGTCTTAACAATGAACGAGAGGTTGTACTATTAGATTGTGGACATGTTTGTCTGTGTGGAGACTGTGCATATGTATTACCTGAACCAAGATTATGCCCTATATGTCGTAGTAAAGTAGTGAGATTTGTTACAACTTACACTCCCTGATTATACTGTCTAAAAAATTAGATATCTATTTTAGCTCTGATTTGCTGATCAAAGTTTATATTTTTGTATATTAAATTATTAATCTAGTGTATGAGACAGAGAGAGAAAATTCAATAAAAATTAATTGATATTCATAATTGGATTTCGTTATTAACTGTTAAAAAAAAATATAAACATGTTGTAGTAAGGCCCTGACTGCGATGGTTTTGTGCTCTGCAGCATAAACCTTACCCCCGTACAAAAAAAGTTGAAGAGGAATATTTTGTGTTGTTACCATATTTTCAGATTCTCTTTATAAACCACTGAACCCATTTTCAACCAATTACATTAAACCTTTTAAGTACAAACATGAATGTTGTGAAATTCATGGATATAATGATTAACGAAGTTATCTTGGATCCCCGTATTGCACGTGAATTTGGACGATCACTAAAGGCACAATACTGTATATAAATATAGCAAACTTCTTATACAAATATAAAAGATATAGCAGAGTAATTTCATAGGTCCCAGTGACTTTGTTATAACCAAGTTTATCTGAAGGTTCACTGTATATTAGAATAAGAAAGGGGAGGACAAAATTATGAATTTCATGGTACTCTTCCCCCTGGAGCTCAATGGTTTGACTCCGACTTTGGACAAATTAAAGCCATAAAAATTTATGCAATTTCTTAAATCTGCTTCTTCAACTCTTATTAAACACCAAACAGTCAACTGATGGAAGTTCTTTAAAAAAAAAACACACACCCTAATAATCTCTGCCCTATGATGAACAAGATTTTCCCCCTAAAATTGTGAACTTCATGGCCCCTTGATCAGGGGTGTGAACACAGGACTCTTTTTTTATACATTTATTAAAAGTTGATGTGCTCTAATTCTTTGTGCCTGTAAATCCTCCCAGTCGCAGGTAAAGCATTATAATGGCGTAATCATGAATTAGCCCTGTCATTGACATTAAAAAATCAAACCCAGAAATTTCTTGACAATTGAAAACAAGAGGCCCATGGGCCACATCGCTCACCTGAGAAACTTTAGTCATGCTGTTCTTCAATAGATTTCCCCCTTTGTAATACCAATTGTGACTAAGCCCTACCCACAGGGTTCATGATTTGGACAATTTAGAATCTACAATACCCCAAGATGCTTTCACATAAGTTTCAGCTTTTCTGGCCCAATGGTTCTTAAAAATAAGATTTTCAAAGATTTTTCCATATATATTTCAATGTAAAACTTGGATTCCCTATTGTGGCCCCGCCCTACCCCCAGGGGTCATGATTTGAACAAATTTGAATCTACACTACCCCAGAATGCTTCCACATAAGTTTCAGCTTTTCTGGCCAAGTGGTTCTTGAGAAGAAGATTTTTTAATGACCCTACCCTATTTTTGTTTTTTCTTGATTATCTCCCCTTGGAAGGGGACTTGGCCCTTGATTTTAATTCTCCTTCACCATAGGATGCTTTGTACTAAGTTTGGTTAAAATTGACCCAGTGGTTCTTGAGAAGAAGTTGAAAATGTGAAAAGTTTACAGATGGACGGATGGACGGACAGCTAGACGGACGGACAACAGGTGATCAGAAAACCTCACTTGAGCTTTCAGCTCCAATGTCAATTTTACCTGGATTAGTATAATACATACCCCCGCCCCTAGATCCGCACATGACCATCATGATTTGGGGCAATTAGTTAAGGTCTTCCGTCTTCAGCGGAAGACCTTACTGTTATTCTTAGGTTTCTTTTCCACTATTTTTATTATTGTTTTTTTTTCTTACCGATTTTGTGCGCGCGAGTTCTCGAGAACGGGCCGATCGATTTTCGCGAAACTTTCAGGTCTGATAGAACATCAAAAAATCTAGATATATATTTTTTTTATTTTGATGACGTCACTTCCGGATCGGAGTTTTCTGCGATTTAGTGATTTTTAGAGGGTCACTTTGTCCGGCAGTTTTCTCAAAAAGTACTTAACACAGAAGCATGATATTTTCAGTGATGCTAGAGCAAACTTTGGAGAAGTGCCTTTTGTATATCACAACTACCGGAAGTACGACGCGCCGGCGCTCGCTATGGGCCGAAAATAGTCCTATCATGACTTTTAAAATTTTTAACGCCTTTTCTATGATAACTTTTTACCTAGAAATATTTTGTTAAAACATATAGAACAAAAGAAGTGTAGAATTACACGATCTTTCAATTGATATCTCAAAAAAAGGGCTGACCCCTAAAATTAGGGATTTAGAGGGGCCAGCAGTATTTTCCTGATATCTCAAAAAGTATTGACAATTTGTTAAGCATCATAGAAGAAAAGTTGTTCAGAATAACAAACAGCAGATGCGGAGATCATTTAAAGTAGTTAAGATGGCGTCACTTCCGGTCAGACCGGAAGTATTTGTAAATGGCTCGTTTTTGCACACATAACCGTAAATGTCTAACAATCTCGATCTCATCATCTTCAGAATTAGACGGAAGACTTATTTGTTGCTTTGCAACAAGCTCGTCTAGTTTTACTTGTAGTTGTTACTGAATACTAGTAACTAGTGAACTAATAATTCATTGATCTCTGATCTTTCTATCTCTCTTGCTTTTTATTTTCTATTTCTATGGATCATTTACATTGTTGTATTTAGCTGCAGATTTGTAGCTCTCCGAAAAAAAATATTGATAGACCGGAGAGCTATACAGTGCCACCCATTGAAAAAACTGTATATTTATTAAGCACAAAAAAGTGCGCTCGGTTCTTAATTAATTCTTCCTAATTCTTACATCAATTGCAAAAAATGGAAGATTTCAAAAAATTCCTATCTCCTCAGTCAAGTACTCTCGTAGTTGACATCTGAACGAAGCATATTAGACCGAATAATCTTGGAAACCAAATGGCAGTATAAATAAGAGAAATGTTCGATGATTGCAATATCAGGACCAGGAGGACTATTAACAACAATTATGAGGAATGTTTTGTTGTGGAAAGAGTAAAAGAATATGTTAGGAACACACGGTTAGTAATATTTTGAGATTACAGTTTTGAAAACATGGAGAAATAAATCGAGAACCGAGCGCACTTTTTTTGTGCGCAATAAATACACAGTTTTTTCAATGGGTGGCACTGTAGCTCTCCGGTCTATCAATATTTTTTTTTTTCGGAGAGCTACAGAAGATCTGCAGCTATGTTGTATTACACATATCTAAGTGACTGTTAAGACTCTTGGGCCTCTTGTTCAAACTACATGTATTTCATAGTAATAATTTCATTGTTAAAATTATTCCTATTTTTTATCAGCCATGAGGTAAATTACTAGTATCTATTGTTTCATCAACTTAATTTTTTTTCAATAATTTATCTCGTTTTAGTCAATAGAAGTTTTACAAACGTGTGCATGCTCTTGCGTATTTATTCAACTGAGAATTATAATCTCCGTATGCAGGCGAAGAATGTATATCGCTGCATAAGCTAGTAAAGGAGTTGACGACTGATGTCCCCGTATGGTCATCGTCACAAATCACAGCCAAAATGTACGATCCTCTCCTTATGATATCTTATGCCTGAGAAAAGGATTGAAGTTTCTCACAAGCAGGTCAAATTCAAAGGTCAAAAGGTCAATATTAGCATCCAAAGAAAGGTTTTGACACAACACAAGGTATATTCATCTATACTGAAAGCCATAGTACTAACTGTTGAAAGGTTGTGGCCAAAGCTTAAAGTTTTTAAAAAGTAGGCCAAACTAAGGTCGAGATCAAAAGTTAATTTTTTACCCTTTTATACCCATTGAAAGGTTTAGAAAATCTTCTATCTATGTACAATGTACTTGCGTTCATGGCCAATAATCAGCAACCTATGACATAAATTTGTATCAAACCTTAGAAGGATGCCAGGTTTCGGAAAATCATTTTATTTTCTCTTTTTGTTAACTTATTGTTTTCTCTTTTTATGAAATCGTTTATTTTGTACCATAGTATTTTAATATTTAAATAATATCATAATATTTTATTTTCATTTTTCGTTATTTATCACATATATTTAAATTTACACCCCCCCCCCCCCAAAAAAAAATGAAATGAAATCGCAGAGCAATGCAAATTGCTCTGATGTGTGAAAATTTCTATGAATAAATGAATTTCATGTTAAGTGCAAAAAAACAAGCTTAGAATTTGTACTTAGTCTCTTTCATTGGGGCTGATGCAGGAGGGGTTACTGTTTTATTTTTTTTTTCTATAGGCTGGACTTATTTGATCTGTACAATCAATGCATTTGAAGGAGATCTTAAATTGAAGAGAGAGAGAGAGAGCTCTTCGACAAAAACACAGACTTGTTCTTCCATCCCAATTTTATCATAACCAGCGAGCTACTGCAGTGATCTGTACATAGCTTAATTAGGCAAAAAAAAAACAAAAAAAAACAACCTATCGCTGTTACGAGAACAGATCGGGTTTGGTATTCTCTAAATAACGAATAAACGAAAATACATGCAAAGACGGTGGTAGACGACAAAGTATTTGTTTTGGATGCTGGTAGTACAGAGACAAGCTGCAAGTAAAAAATGTCGTGCATTGAGGGGAAATGGTTTCGTGAAATGAACGAAATGTGGTCTGGATATTGTGTGTCTTTGCAAATAGAACAAATTTTGCACCAAGAAAAGTCTAAATTTCAAGAGATCCTCGTGTTTAAAAGGTAAGAGCACGTTAGCTCAAGTATGCATTTATCACGGTGACCCGATGAAGGTGATAAGAGCTTGTTAATTTCCCCCGATGAATTGAACTAAATAAAAAATCTGTGACTTGCGTAACGAGAAAAAAAAATAATTGAGGATGAAAGGAAAAATGCATTTTCTTGTTTATACATGCACTTTTTATTTTTTCAAAGACATTTCATTAAAGCTAGGGATTCAACAAACAAGAAGATTATATAAATTGTCAAAATATTAACTTCCAGAAATAATATTCGTTATACAAGTGATCATCCTTTGGAGACCCAATTTCTATCAGTATTTACGTTTTAAATTATGTTCTTGTCATGCCATGACAACTTTTTATTACATGTTTATTACATGTTTATGTTTTTTTTTTTAAAATATAATAGATAAGGCCTAATAATTTTAATATTGTATCCA